GTGATCCTTCGTGTGGTGGTACTATGTACTACTTTTTTTTTTTTTTTTTTTTTTTTTTTTTTTTTTTTTTTTTTTTTTTTTTTTTTTTTTTTTTTTTTTTTTTTTTCAAGTACTTCGGTTCCGAGCACCCTCGGAATTAATAGAAAAGCAAGAGGGAGGAGGGAACTTCGGAGGGAAGATAGAAATAGGAAGAGGAAGAGAAAGAGAAATGGACTTTAATGTAGTATACTCTGTTTGAGGGTTTAGGTCGATAGGTGCATGGTATCGGATCGGATATATATTTGTTGTGGGAAAACTCATGGTTATTATATCGAGGGTACGGAGGATAAAGGGGTATAATGTAGACATCTTTGTTTATACTCTTTATTCTGATATATATTGTGTATATTGTAATGTATATTGTAATGCAATGTAATGATATGCGTATGGGCATCGAAAAGACAGCTGATCAGATGAATACTCTTCATTATTCATTCATGGTCGTCATAAACAGATGCAGTGCGAACAGGATATATAGTATGGGTATCGTTTCTATGCATGAGGGGAATAAGAATGACGATATGTATAGGAGGGGAGAGGAGGGAAGGGGAGATGTTGATTCATGACGACGGGTGGTTCCCACCCAGTCCAACGCCCTCTTGTCGGCCCCGAACCAAAGCCAACAGACACTGGCCCACACCTTCCAGGTCGCCGAGAAGTCCGACGTGTCCGCGATCGCTCTTCACCAGACCGCCCTTGATGATGCGGTATCCCGGGGGCAGCATGGCCGCAGAGGCAAGACAGACGCCATCACCGGCGGCAAAGGCCAGATCGTCGTACGCGTCTTGATGCTTGATGCGCTCGCGCGACTCGACGCGAGCCCCATACACGGTGGGCACGGACTTGCCGTACAGCACGGCAAAAGGCGGGTATTCGTTGTGCGACTGGCGGGAGGCATCAAATGCAAGCTCTTGCTTGAACTGCTTGACTTCTTTCAGAGTACGTTCGAGGTACGTCAAGGCGGTTGCGCGGGGGATCGTTGTGGCGGTTGTCGCTTTGGTGTTGGCCGAGCCGCGGAAATTGGGAGTCGGTCCTATCGCGCCCTCCAGATGCGGGGGAGCCACCGGCGCTGGTTTGCTGGTCGCCTCCGAGGGCGGGTTCGCCGCTTCCTGGGGGTTCTGTGCCGTTTGCTCGCCATTGGTATCGTCCGATGACGATAGACTATCCTTGCTGCCTAAAACCGTGGAAATGCGCTTCCCGAGCAGAGGGAAATTGTCCACAAAGCCTCGGCTGTTCCCAACCGGAAGAGCGGGATTGATACAGGGGGAGAGTCGGTGCTCGTCCCACGCCTCCGCGGAGAAGAAGTCCACCGGGTATTCTTCCTTGGTCCGTTTGTTGATGAAGCAGTGGCCGTCCTCGGGCAGGAGAGCAAAGCTGGTACGGAAGGTAAAGTTCACCTGTGCGGTGAGCACGCGGGAGCTGAGCAGCACGTCATCGCCATTGCGCAGGGGCCCCAGGATATTGACACAGTGTTGCGGGACACCGGCATAGAGAACACCCGCGAAGAGTTCTGGCCGCTGATTGACGGCATGCCGGGTGATGAGGCCACCCAGACTGTGGGCCACCACGTAGGCTCCTCGCTTTTCCGGGGGCGTATCGGGAGAGTTACAGGGCAACCCCTCGAGGAATTTCACCAGCCGCTTCGCCAGCAGATGCGGGCTCAACCGCCAGTCATAGCCATAGTCCCACACCCGGAGATCCCCGCTGACGGCGTTCGGACACTTTTGCAGGCGCTTCATCAGACGACGACAGATGTCGACCGGGCCGACATGAGACAAAACGCCGGAGGGAATGATCGTCTCCTCCATCCGCTCCTCGTCTTCCGGGTTCAGACCCACCTCGAGATCCACCTTGCGAAGATTCAAGCCAACTTTCATCGGAACCCACAGCTGGCGCTGCGGCGGTTTGGCAGACCGCAAGACCGACCCCCGGTAACCTCCGAGGATAACTACATCGCCGGTCATTTCTGCCATGGCTTCCGTTAGCATCGGGTACTGGGTACTGATGCTGGTCCGCGGCGAGCGGGTTCGCAGCTGCGATGGATCATCGCTCGGCATCTCTCGGGCGGCGAGCGGCTGCTCCGGCGTGGAGTAGGCGTGCCCTTTGCGATGGGCGACATCGGAGAGAAACGGCTTGTAGCCCCAATCACTCCGCAGGTCCTGCAAGTGCAGCGTGGGCATGCTGAGCAGCCGACTGCTGGAATCCTGCAGACTGTCCTTGATCGCCTTGAACCGGCTGTTGACTTGCGAATGGATATGTTCGTAACGAGGCCGCTGGTCCAGCGACGATGCGGTGGACGAGGCTCTCAAGTAGAGCGACTGATCTGATGACGATCTTCGTAGCATGGCCGGCACTGCTGGCCCGGTTGCACTGGGTCTCCGCGCATAGGAATGTCTGGCGGTCGTTGCGCCGCCGAGAGGCTCCAGATCGGAGATTTGCTCCTCGGGGCTATCTCGGCTGGATTCGGGGTCGGAAAACGACTTGCGCCGGGACAGCGACGCCGCATCCTCCTTGCCCTGATCCAGCGCCAGCTTCGAGGCGGGTTTCAGGGTTTGACTGCGGGCCCGAACCTGGGCCGATGAGCTGGGTCGGAAGGAGAGGGAGGACCGCTTAGTCAACAGGTCTGGCAGGAACTTCTTGAGTCGGAGGTTGGTCAAGGAGTCGCCCGACCATGCCCGGGGTCGCAAGGGGAGCCCGGTCAAGATCGACCGGGTGAAACTGGATCGCTGGCCCTCCTTGGGTGTTCGTGCGCTGTCACGCTGTGGTGCCACGAGGTCCGATGGAGGCGCCCGGTTGACAGCGGGCTTGGAAGCCTCGGGCAACGACTCGGGTTCATCGGTAATGTCAGAGGCAAAGAGACCCTCCGCGTCCGGCGTGTCGGGAATGGGCTCAAAGTAGCCGCCCTGGCGTTCCATCACCCGACTTTTCTCTTCGGCGGGCGTGAGACGCGCCTTCATTCGGCTCTGGCTGCGACTGATACTGACCCCGATGACCTCGTTGGCTTCATCCTCCCGGGCGGCGTCCGGCCCAATTGGTCCCTCACTGTCGGAACTCGAATGGGTGGTGAGGGTGGGAGAAGATACGGCGGGGACCTGACCGTTGATCCCAGCCGGACGAGTCGAAATAGCCATGGTTGGGATGACGGAGAGGGGAGCGGGCAGGGATTATAAAGGGACCCATACAGGGGAGGTTCAAAATGGAGTGATGAGGGAGGATAAGAATAGATAAAAATTGGAAGAAGGCTGAGACAATCGATTTGGATCCATCACATGCCAGAGTGGATTGATGGATTCTGGAGCAGGCACTAAACTAACGGTTCGACGAGATGGAGCATCGTATTCGCGTTAGTCTTTCCTGAAGAGGGGCTCCATGGGGGCCAAGACGGAGCCGAAGAAGAAATCATGGAAATCGACAGGTACAATCGGAGGAGGAAAAGGCAGAAGAAATAAGGAGAGACGAGCAGGGGAACGCCAGAGGCCCGAAAAGTCAAAACGGGTTCCACCGCACAGCCTCCGGGTGTTCCGGAAGAAGCTTCCTGTCAGGAAGAGGATGAGTTGCGAAGGTCGGGAACGAGGCAGTTGTCTCACGGCGGGCTATTCTTGGGTTCCGACCATGGATAGTGCCGGATAGTTAGCTGAGCGTTAGTGGGATGCTTGGCTGGAGGTTAAGTGTTACGCCTTCCAGCAGCTTGGTGAGCTGGAGCAGCCTGATCCTGTCTGTGATTGAAATAGAATTGTGTGATGGAAGTTGATCAAGGTGGATTGAGTCTCGGAGATCATCCGTGGAACGACCACGGTCCATGGTTCAGTCTGTACATACATACTATGTAGCAGATGAGATCATGGCAAGCCATCGAACGACAGACACATCATGATCGAGCATATCGTCATTGCTTGCATCGATCGGATGGTGGCCATTCGAGCAGCTAAACCAATGGCGACAAAAAGCAGGTTGGATAAGGAGCCCCTCTTGTCACCTGACAGCCAATCGTGATGCCTCAGGAGCTTGCCACTGACCTTCCAACAGTACAGACGCAACAGACTTGACCAATACTGTGTAGTACACAACAAACCAAAGCTAACTGACCATGTCTCCGCTGCAAGTCCCACTCCAGCTCCGTCCACTGATCGCGTCTGCTGCGTGCTAATTTAGAGCCTTCTAGCTATCCGAGGCTCCGAACGATTCCGCGTCATACTCCGTACTCCATCCGGCATACACGCATACACATAAGCAAAGATCCATTAACTACTAGCGTGACTCATACTCATATCATCAAAGCTGGTTCATAATAAAAATATCACCGCTGCGTCCTAAAGTTCCCCGACTGAATCTCCTGCTCTCCTCCTTGAGCAATGGCCGCGTTTCTGGCCACCCCTTCATCGTGTCCAAACGCCTTGTCGACGGCCGCGTTCAGCCCGCCTCGCAGCGATTCCCCCGCTCCCTGTTTCAGGTCAGCATCAGCCCGTCCTTAGTGCCGGATCATCCGCGCCGCGACGGATCCGGATCTAGACTTGCGACTTACGTGAATCCCCGCCGCCGCTGACTTCACCCCTTGGCCGAAACTTTCTCCTGCTTGGGCGGACTTGGAGCCGGTTCCTGGAGTCGTATAAGTGCTGCCGGATGATGCAGTAGGCTGATATCCGACTCCGCTGGTGGTTTGCGATCCGGAGACGGGGGTGGTGTTGTAGCCAGCCGCGCCGGTGCCCGCGGTGGTAGGTTGTTGATAAGCGGCTCCGGTCGTATCGGTCGGCTCGCGCATGGCTCCGGTGCCGGCCTGGTTGGTGGACTTGGACGACATCTCGCCGGTCTTGCTGTTGACACGAGGGTCTAGCTTGTTAAGGATAGAAGACTTGTGCGGGCCAGCGGTAGAGCTCTGGGGATTGGATACGCCCTGGGTAGCCTGGGGGTGCACGTTTCCGGTGGTGGTGGTGCCGGGGGCGTACTGAGCGCGATTGTTCAGATCACTGTCCACACGGGGATCGGCCTTGTTGGCGAGATCCGACTGATGTGGTCCCGCGGTGGTGCGTGCAGGGCCGGTATTTGGCTGGCCGGTGCTGGTGATGCCGGTCGCAGTGGTTGCGCTGGGATTCTGGTTGGGCTGCCCGAAGGTGGAAGAATAAGGAGGTTGTGTGCTGCTCATGATGACTCGGCTACTGTGTTATTTAAAATGGGATGTTTGGATCTGAGGTTATAATGTGGGGTCCACAGCTCGATCTGATGCTTATGTACGTGCTGGGATGTGTTGAGACAATGCTGGGTCGACATCATCGGTGACGTCAAGATGAGGCAATCGCACTGCCATTGTCCGTTGATCGACCTCGATACCGTGGAAGGGTTCCGGTACATCTGGACACTACTGGCTATGGTGATGGTGATGGTATGCTGATGGTGGTGGTGGTGGTGATGGTGGTGATGGCTTCTGTATAGTCACGTGGGCTTATCGATAAGGTGGTGATGTCATGACAGCATCGCGATGAGCATCAAGGAGGGGCATGATGCACGATATTATGCTACGGAGTACTCCGCACTGTGTATTGATGGGGATGCGGTGGAAGGGTCCGACTAATCATCCTCGGAACAGACTAGACGCCGGAGGAGTTACTACAAACAGAGTGACGGCCTAGTTCGTTTCGGGAGCCGAGGTTGTTTCTCCCCCAAATATGCGAATTCCCTCTGATCTTACTGTCTACCCCTTTTCATCAACAACATGACTATCACAAATCGACAGCTCATCTATGTGAATGCGCCCACTGCGGCCATCGACCCGTCTCTCACGGGCGGTACCTTTCAGCTCAACAGCACCACTCTGTCCGAGGATGTGCCTGCTGACAAGGTGCTTGTCCGGATTCACTATCTGGCGCTGGAGCCCGCCATGCGGCAGTGGCTGACGGCCAAACGGTCCTACATTGCGCCCGTCGAGCGCGGCAGTGTCATGCGGGGGCAGAGCATCGCCCAGGTCGTGAGCGTCGGCAGTAGTCTGACCTCGCAATACCAGGTGGGCGACTGGGTGGTGGCCTCCTCGGGCTGGCAGGAGTATGCCGTCTTGGGACCTAAGGAGGCCCAGAAGATCTCGGTGCCCCCCGGCTGCAAGCCCACGGACGCCATGTCCGTGCTGGGCATGACAGGATTGACGGCCTACTTTGGCATGATGGAGGTGGGTCAGCCGAAGCCGGGCGATACCGTGGTGGTCTCGGGGGCCGCGGGTGCGACGGGCATGGTAGCCGGACAGATTGCGAAGATCCAGGGAGCAAAGCGGGTGATTGGCATTGCCGGCAGTGCCGACAAGTGCGAGTTTCTGCGGAAGGAACTGGGCTTTGACGTGGCCATCAACTACAAGGATAAGGATTGGATGAAGCAGCTGAAGGAGGCGACGCCGGAATATATTGATGTGTTTTTCGACAATGTGGGAGGCGAGATTCTGGATGCGTGCTTGGGCCGGGCTGCGCAGTTTGCTCGCTTTGTGATCTGTGGTGCCATCAGCCAGTACAATGTGGCGAAGCCGCGAGGGCCATCCAACATTATGCAGGTTATTGTAAGTATACCGTGCAAGTTACCGTGCAAGGATACCTCTGCCAGAAGGGATGATGCTAATGAGTGTAGTCGCAACGGGTCAAGATGCAGGGATATATCGTGTTCGACTATGCTAAGCAGTATCCAGAGGCGTTGCAGCAGCTGGGGACGTGGTTGACGCAGGGAAAGTTGCAGCGCAAGGAGCATATCGTCCGGGGGGGATTAGAGTCGGCGCCGCAGAGTCTGGTGAATTTGTACCAGGGGGTGAATACGGGAAAGATGATGGTTGAGGTTGTGCCATTGGAGATGAAGGCTAGACTGTAGTCGCCACAGTACTACATACATACATATCTACATACATAGTTATCTACATACATAGTTATCTACATACATAGTCATACTACATACGTAGTAGTACTATAATCTCTGTAAGTAATCGGCACCCGCTGTCACCATTACTTCATAGTCACTGTCACGTCACACGTCATACTGATGAACATCGTCACCACCACCAGTACTGTGTACTACAAATAACCCGATACCAACCATAAAAATCATCACATCATGTTGCGCCGATTAATTCCCACATCCATTCCCACTCGTCACTGCCGTTCAATTATACCAAAACCAATCTACCCAGCACACTTCTCCACCCCATCCCAATACCCCCCACCAAAACCTCCCAATCAACCATCCAAAATGGCTGCAAGTAACGCCAACTTCAAGCTGGAGAATCTCTTCAACGTCAAAGGAAAAGGTGCATACCCTAACCCTCCCCCCTACCCCCCCAACCCCAACTAACGAAGAAGAAATATAGTGGCCCTAATAACCGGCTCCGGCTCCGGCATCGGGCTCATGGCGACGCAAGCGCTCGCCACCAACGGCGCAAAAGTATACATCACCGGCCGAACCCCCGAAAAACTACACCGAGTGGCATCCCTCTACTCGTCCAACATTCCCGGCGAAATCATCCCCATTCCATCGGACATTACATCCAAAGAGTCCATCAGTCAACTCGTGGATGAGATCTCGAAGCGAGAATCCCATCTGGATATCTTGATCAACAACGCGGGGATTAGTTCCTCGACGGATGATACGAGCCCCAACCAGCCGGGAGAATTACAGAAGAGTCTCTTTGACGATGCCACCCCGATGAAGGAATGGGAAGATGTCTACCGGACGAATGCCATGCAATTGTATTTCACCACCACGGCGTTTTTACCCCTTCTGCAGAAAGCGGCGGAGAGGGAACGGGGATGGAGTAGTACCGTGATTAACATCACCTCCATCTCCGGCATCGTCAAAGTCTCACAGCACCATTTCGCCTACAACGCGAGTAAAGCGGCGGCCATCCATCTGACCAAGATGTTGGCCCATGAGGTAGCGGAGAGTGGGTTGCGGATTCGCGTGAATAATATCGCTCCGGGGGTGTTTCCCAGTGAGATGACGGCGGGGGAGAGTGATGAGGGACAGAAGAGTCGGTTGGAGAAGGGGAAGTATGAGGGGAAGGTTCCGGCGGATCGGCCGGGGAAGGAGGAGGATATGGCGGGGGCGGTGTTGTTTGCGGTGACGAATCAGTATTTGAATGGGCAGACGGTTGTGGTGGATGGGGGGTATGTGTTGCGGGCGGGGACGGTTTGATACCCCCCCTCGGGGGTGTATGTTGAAGTGGAGATGGAAATGTGGAGGATGATATATGATATGGAATGGATTGATAATGGAAAAGGACTGTTTAAGAATAATACCCAAACAACCACTCCGACCTCACCACCTCGCTCGCCCGGATCCTCCTCCGCGGATCAGGATCCAGCATCGCGTAGATGACATTCCGACATTGCATCTATCCCTATCCATTAGCACAATCCCCACCCATCTCAGAAACATATAAAAAAAAAAGAAGAAAAATACTAACCGATCCTAACCCCTCCACCCCCTGAAACCCCTCACATCTCCGCCTCCCAATTAAATACTCCTCATACCGGGTATCTTCCTCATCCGCACAGGTCCAGAGAATTCGTCCCATTCGCATAATCAGGTAGATGATTCCCGCGGCCCAGACGTCTGATGCTCGGGGGTCATACCCACCTTTATAATATGGATATTGAGTGTTGGTAGTGGGGCAGGGGATGGTTTCAGGGGACGCGTAGGGTCCCATCTTCCCCCTCTTCGGGATTATATGTAGACTGGAACTTGGGCCTGATGAAGATAACGAAGAGGGAGAAGAGGTAGATGCGGAAGACAACCGCTCCAGCCCCTCAACACCAACCGATACCCCAAGACAAAGGGAATACACATCCCTCTCCGCCCACTTCTCCATCCACGATGTGTATGTTCCTGGGCTAGGGGGAGACACCGGGTGGTTGTCGAGAACCGTAGCGTGTCCGAGGTCAGTTAGTTTGATGCAGATCCCTCCCTTCCTATTCCTATTCCTAGTTTCTTTTCCATGATTCACTGGGGATGAGGATGAGGATGGGGAAGGGAGCCATGTAAGCAACACATTCTCCACACAAACCCCCCCATGCGCGACCCCCATTGAATGCAAGTACGCAATCGCGCTGAGGAGTTGCGCGAAGATGATATTCGCTTCTTGTATCTCTAGACCTTGATTCCTCCCTCTTCTTTCTTTCCCCCCTCTACTGGGCGAAGACGAGGAGGGTATGGAGGAGATATATGCTCCTAAGTCGCCGAGCGGACAATATTCACTCACGAGACAGGTTTCCAGTTGCGAGTTGGGGAGAATATCGATCGTGCGGAGGAGGTGGGGGTGCGAGAGGGTCGAGGAGAGGAGGCATTCGAGGGTGTTTTTTAGGGTTTGTTGCGTGCTGGTGATGGTGTTACTGCTGCTGCTTGGGCGGAGGGTTTTGATGACGTGGAGGGTTTGTTTATCCTTATTCTTAGGGTTGGTATTGTTGTTGGTATTGGAGTAGAGACGGACGGAACTGTGCGTGCCGTAGTGGAGGATCGATGTGCAGGTGCCGTATTTCGATTTGAGGGTTTGTGTTTCTTGTTTCTGTGCTTGGGGTTGGGGTTGTGGTTGTGAACGTGGCTGATGTTGAAGCAACGGACTATACTCCGACACCGAGTCAGCATCATGATGATTCCACCGGGGAAGAAGCATTGGCAGTTTAAGACACGGCATGATGGATTTTTAGTATTCGAATTGTATCTTGAGATCAATGGGTGGTGGGGTGTGGTGGGATCATATACTGTCATATGTATGAGGCAATTGTCCAGCACTCTGAACGAATCACCAGTCACTGTATAGTCCACTAATCCATCTGAAGATTAGCATGTCAGACGACTGGTGACGGTTTCTGGTCAGCTGCAGTCACCAAGAGTTATACTGGTTGTATCCATGCCATCTGTAGATTACATATAGAATATGAGGACCTGAGAAATCGACGCCGAAAATGACCGCTATTGAGGCCATAAACGGCCGCATTTCCACCCGTAACTCCGCCGGTACTCATTAGGGTCCTTTCCCACACGGACATTTTCCCCCTAGGACCTTCTTTCCCTCAGGAAATTTCCACCTCAGGGATGCTTCTCCCCAGGGCCTTCTTCCCTCGGCTTTTTCGGGGTTTATTGATCGGTCCGTTAGGAAGATATACACAGGCCACGTGACTGTGCATATATCTTATCACGTACGTATTGAACTTCTCATCGTTTCCGAGCCCGAGCTGCTTTGTGTATGTCGCCAGCCATAAGTGGCTGGGTGGACGACCAACCAGATCGTCGGCCTAGCGTGGACGCCAGTTAGCGGTCCTACGCTTGTGCCAGTCGTGCGATTAGTGTCCTGAGACCATACAGACCAGCCACATCGGAACAAAAAACTGGTGTTCTAGACTTGGGTGCTGACGAACTATATCGTTCAGCGCGATACGTAGGTCCTGTGACTTAGTACCAAGTAAGCCAGACCCTCTACGCCCGGCCCACATATTCTTAGGATGCTGGTCGCGCGACCGGCACAAGCGTAAGACTGCTACCTAGCGTCCACGTTAAGCCAACGACCTCGTCAATCGTCTATCCAAATTCGTACGACGTAATCAGCGTGAAGAACATGCGCTCTGAAACCACTTTGATGATATATAGTGCGCGTTGGCCATGTTCCGCTTATGGAGTAGATGATGATAATCAATATTGTTCTGAGAGCACAGGGTATCGGGCACGGCTGGTGTAAAGTAATACCACCGCCTTTAGAGCTGCAGCCTGAGTCCATGTTTATGCAGCTTGGAGAAGGAGATCCTTTCTCACTCCCGTGAGACTTTCTTCCCGTAGGCCGTTGCCTAGAGCAGTTCCGACAGGATCGACCCCTATCTCCACCCACTCGCCGTAGAGGCAAGTCGGAGTTATAACATCAGTGGTATCAATCGGAAAATCCACACCGACAGCGTTGTCCAAGTCTAAGCGGAAAGATATACTACTATCAATTCCGTCGTTATCACTGCTATAGCCAATGTTATAATATAGTGGACAGCGGGCTATAGCTCAAGGAAGAGAGTCAAGCGACTAGTCTACTGGAAAGAGAGACCAGAAGAAGATAAGATCATGAAGTAACTGGCAACAATAGCAGGTAGAGATTATAAGAAGAAGAAATAGCTAAAAAATATTAATAGATAGAAGGGAAGAAAACAGGATTATCATTTATAAGATAACTACTGCGGGGGACTCTTTACTCTTAAGGAGTAGCCATTCTCGGCTAGTTATAAAAAATAAGTCAGAATATAAGTTTTAATAGCGTAACAGCCTAAAAAAAAATCCCACAATCAGATTAATAGACTGAACAATAAATATGGCTAATTAAAACTAATGGGGGTTCAGAAATGATAGGTGTGCAAAGATGATAGGTTTTTAAAAATAGTAGGGCTTTAAAGATGATAGAGGAATGGTAGGTCTTAAATAATAGAGTGCCAATAATAGTGTTTACAACTTGCACTCTTGTTCCAAAGTATTGGACATGTAGCAGCTGTATTTGCAAGGGGCAATACGCCAGGTAAACCATGCATGTTAAAGGTGAGACGAATTGCACGCCTGCGCATGAATGAATAATATAAACTAGTAGTAATGTGATTAATTGAAAAATTCTCAAGTAAATACAGGATCATTGTTTATACAGTAGCTGCCTTTATAACTTGAAGTCCTTTATGAATAGTCTGCCAGATTGTCATCGGCAAAAGAAATGCCGAGGGCCTCTAAATCTCAGTACGTTAAAAGACACAGTTCTGGGCCGAAGGCCACAATATTCCGTGTAAGTTGGCGGCGGCGGAGCCACAGATAAGTAGTAGTATATTCATACGCTGACCCATCCGCCTTGTGTTGGTTTCCCCCACTAGACTAAAATACGAATTCGCACCTAGCCTAGTGGTTTATGGTTTAGAATCCAACTCCTTGGGCGAATGCAGGTATTCACTATATAGCGATCTCTCTCGATACATGTCTTTGCTGTAAGCTATTTCTTTCCCGACAAATCTGGAGCCTCACCAAGGCCTGTAACTGTTTCTCTTTCTCACCACCTTGCCATAAAAGGGAAGGTTAGGTACTATTGTGGAAACGAATTCCATTGTTGTGGTAACTATGATACCAGCAATAAGAGTCAAACCCACCACCTCCAAAAAGCAAGGTGAACAAATCTGGTATTACTTTGGAACTTATCTCGGAATACTTACCATTACACCACCACCACTGGGAGTAAGCCACAGAACTAATTCGAATCAGGTTGGTCACAGAATCCACGAAGTAATACGTGCAACGTGCAACAAGGCTTAAAAACGCGTGCATGACAGCGAGGCTAGGATTCGTTCTCTGTAAGCGCTAAATGCGCCCACCTCATCGATGCTATGAAATGTTCCATGATTATTTTGGTTTCTCTACCCAGATCGATTTGTCGGGTGCTCTGATATGTTGATGGCTAAATAATGTACGCAGACTTTAAAAGCCAATCAGTAACATCGCTCATGTCGTCTCTAACAGCAGGGACTTGTTCCATAGTCACTACAAACCCGATTCAGGTGGTCAGAGCCAGGCTCATATCACAGAGCGGCGTTTCCAGTCAAGCATATTCGAGGCCGTTGTGGCAATACAGCTCAGCTTATGATGCGGCTCGGCAAATCTATTGCAATGAAAGCATTCCAGCTTTCTACTCCGGCTTGACCCCAGCTCTTTATGGGCGTGTCGCACCTTGCAATCCAATTTCCCCTCTACGAGGCCTTAAAGCGGAAGCTCACAGGCTCGGGATTAGGCGAATATGACCGGAAGCCCTCCCATACCCTTTTAGGTGTTCTTGCTGCAGGATCTATGAGCAAGATAATTTCTACTGCTTCCACTTACCCTCACGAGGTCATTCGAACGCGACTTCAGACCTAACAGAGACTCAAATCAACCATCATCGCATCGCGAGGCATACAAGAAATTGTTTATAATATTTGGAAGACGGAGGGATGGAAAGCTTTCTATGCTGGCTTGGGCGCTAGCATGATACGTGCTGTACCGGCCTCGGTGACCACAATGCTAGTCTATGAGAACATGTTAAGTGTCCTGATCAGTATAAAAGCTGATGGCGAAAGGAAATTAGCAGATCAAAGCTGTACACCGTAACATGCTTCAGAAAATCGGAATGTTGAATTTCACAGTCTCTCGCCTTATACAGTGCATCGACCTACATCAATCTGAAATGGATACCCGAATGTCACGAGGCTTTTCTGTGTCATAAGAATGCATTGTGACAATGTCCCCCTAAACATTGTCCTCTTTTTCCCGCATATTCTTAGCCCCCTTTTGGTTTTGCTGGTGAAGAGGACTATCTACCATTTCCGGGATTGGGGATTTCATGCCACTAAAGTCCCTGTTGGCATCATTTTGAACATTGCTATTGATTGGAACCGGAGCATAAGGACGCGAAATGCTGTCACGCATAGGATGGGCCGCGCCAGTTTTAATTTCACCATTATCGGTTACTCTATCCGCTGCGGAGAGGGCCAAATCACCTGAGTCGAAGTATCTTCGTTCCTGGTGCTCATCAGTAGCGGCCTTTGTGTCAGCTCATCGCAAACATACCCTAGACTGTCGCCCGAGTAATCCTCCGCCATGGGGCTGTTTGCTATAGGAAGTTGGGGGGCGTTTCTCATCTTCAGACGAAGTCTAACAACCGATCAGTCCGGTAGGCCATACTATGTAAGTAGGTTTGCTCTAACCTGGGAAGACAATTCTTTATCGCGTCCTCGTTCCATTTGCCAATCTTGTACCGGATGTATACAGTTGAGAACGGAATAAATGAGATGGCGCAATCGGAGACTGGATTACATTGATTCCCACTCACATAAGATGTGTGAGCTTACCCCGCGTATCGGTTCCGTCGCAATCGGATTTCGACGTCACCTCCCTTGGACTAGTCCCATGGAATGCTGCGTCAAGTTTTTCCATCTGAGCCAGCCAAGGACCCAGCTCATTAGGTCTTAGCCAACAAACCCGTGGGTCGGTTTCAGTCAGAAACCAAGCCACGAAGCGCGATGCTTGCCAACTCACGGACGGCAAGAGTATGTTAATAAGGCTAAAGTATCGTAGCTTTTCTCTTCCCTCGAAATGTTGCGTTATCATCTGCTGACCTCCGTACAAGATTAACCCGCCAAAATTATCCATCTACTTTTGAATCAGGCTCACCCTTTGGCTTTCTCGGCAGTCATTTGGATTAACAGCGCTCCATGTGTGTGAGCGAGCCTCTGCCCAGTTACTGGATTTCTGAAAAGGAGCAACAACACGAGAAGCAATTTCTAGACCAATGAAAGGGAATATCCGGCAAAGCTCATCATATAGCAAGGACTGAGCATGGGGTACTTGGTGACGCTAGGATGAACGGCGATGTGTGAAAGACTAAATTATTGTTCAAAGGACAGTTTGTGTGAGCGCATTCAGTTGGTGCAGGAGTCCAATGGAAGGGCCTAACTGGCGAACCTGCAAGGGAGCATGTCATGGTATTTTACTTGATGCACATCTCACTGGCTTTCAGTCAATATAAATACCGATCCTCTTATGCGTGCAGCTTTCCTCTTAGGCGCTGAATAGTTAATCAAGAAGAGCCTTCTTACGTAATTGTCCAGTGTGAGAGTTGGAAAACGGAGAGCTCTGTTCAACTATTCAATTAGCCCTCCGTCTCATGCCCTGTGGCTCTCTGCTTCGCGCTCCCTTCGCTATCTTTTACATCTGCAATATGCTACACGGTGATCCAGCAATACATGTACAGTAAATGCAAATTTAAAGATGCAGCGCTGCGCAGACCGCTAGTCCAAGTATATACGTAGTATCTACGCTGCCGCTATCTGAGGGATTTCCTGACCAAACATGAGGCCGTTGACAGCAACGGTAAGAGACAGCAATGCAGATAGCAGACAGCAACAGCAGACAGCATCATCACCGTACCTTGCCCGCTTCCCGCACCATCTGCATAAACCCGTCTTCATCCCCCCCCAACATCCAGTAATCCCCCAAGCCCAACGTGATCCCTCCGAATCCTGTCGCAGGCCCACTGTTTCGCTCCTGCGCTTTCCCCTGCCGCGGTCCCCATCCCAGAATATCCTGCACCGCCTTGCGACTCGGGTCATCCGGCTTCGTGTAACCAAACAACTGCGGCTGCAAACATCCCAGGATCGCCACCGCCGCCCGGATCATAACCCGATCCCCCTCAAACACCCAGCAGTCCCACACCCGGCTCAGCCGTTCCAAGTCCAGCCCGTTGGTCAGCAGGGACCGGAACATCGGTTCCCAGATCTCTTCGTCGCTGAGGCGCAGCGTCTCGTGTAGATGCGTCACCAGACGGGGAAACTTATATTTGAGCGTCGCAGAAGCCAAGGTATATGTACGACCGATCGCCCCGCGGTCCTGCGTCAAGAAAGCCACCGGCAGTGCCCGGTTCAGCGCATTGGCCATGGCAAGGAATGCAGACGAGGGCGACGGGAATTGCAAAACAAGAAGGGCGGCAATGGTCTGTCACGTTAGTCATGTCATGAGGTCATAAAAATCGGTACTCACATGCAAGCCGCTGACATAGCCCACGTCGCTCCGATACATCGAGTATGCCTGCAACACATCGATCAAGGTTTCGCGCAGCGGACCCCCGGTTTGGAAGAGGTTCAACTCAGGGAAGGCCGTAGACACGTCCGAATCAATCGCCTCAAACCAATCCCGCATTCGCTTGTTGCTCTCGCCAGAGTCTTCCCGGGATCGCACATCTTTGGCCCGTTGCAAGGCTTTTTTGTATGTTTCCTCCGACAGAGCCAGCTCATTGCCGATGGCCCGCTGCCAGGTCGCTCCCCGGATGCGAGGCGGCACCCCGCGCCACCACAGCTCCCGCGTGCGCGTTTCATGAATCACATTATCCCAATTCGGGTACACATATTCATCCCAGATCTGTTGCAGAGTCTCGCGAGTGTTGTCTTTTTCGCACTTCATGGAGGCAGCCTTGGCAGCCCGGCGCTTGTCTGCGGTTGTCAGCCAAGACCTCCAGCCCAAAGAATAAACATACCTGCTTCTCGTGATTGCGCCATCATGCGCTTGTATTCCTTTAGGTGCCGCTTCTCCTCCTTCTGATCCTTCGGCGGCAGCCAGCTGGGCCGCGTCCGCGTGAGAACTTTCTCCTTCTCCTTGCTCGGAGGCAACGGGTCGATCATGATGTTGGATTTCTGCAACGGAGGCAATTCAATGGTGCTTTTGGACCCGCGCTTGGACTCTTCACTAGATCGCAAGGAAGAGAGTCCGCTCTGCAGGTGCTCGCCCCGCTTGCGCTCCCGTTCATCTGCATGATATTCCAAAGCTTCTGTGATAATCTTGGCCTCTTCCGACAGATCCGACATCATGTTGTTGTACGAATAGGCCCGCGGATTACGGGGCGAGATCTGGCCGCGTTCAGGCCCGGTCGAGCTGGACCGGTTGGTCCGGGCCGTAGGAGATCGCGAACCAGAGGGCGACCGGGGGATGCCATTGGAAACCGAATGCGACAAAGGCAGAGGCCGCGGCCCCGGGCTCCGACCATTCGGGCTGGGAGCCCGGGATGGCGCTCGATCTTGAGCGGGCCGTGGAGAAATGGGAACATTCCACAGACTGGCATCCTCAGGTAACTCTTCATCCGAGTCATGGTATTCATCCTCCAGATCTTGAACGGTTTTGCGAGGGCGCTGCCAAGAGGGTTTCCGGTTGAGCGTTTGGGTATTCACCGGAGTCAAAGACAAGGTCGAGGGCGAGGAGCCCAAACTCGAAGTCGGTCGCAAAGGAGAGGTCGATCGCGAACGAGGAGCCTTCACTTGAAGGGCGGCTTGCTTGGGAGGGTCCCGCTTGGTGCGGTGCTTGGGCCCGCGTCCCGGCTGAGCCAAGGTGCCATTGACCGGCTTCGGCATGGTCCTGGTCTTGGTGGCCGTCAGATCGCGGGTGGTCGCAACGGCAGACTTCTGCATGATGGCCGCGGATGCCCGGGTGATCCCGCCATTTCGGAGGTACGGGGTGGCCCCCTTCACGTAGGACAGATGCACCTCATCCTGGAGATCCACCTCTTCAAAGTTGGCGATATCGGTGAAGATGGCCTCGGGGCCGGAGTGCTGCGAGGAGGAACGAAAGGAGGACGACTTGGAGGATTTGGACCCGGATAGGTCGGGAGGGGAATTCGGGGTGGGTAAAACGGTTGTCATCGCGGGGCAAGACTTTCTGATCACGGCGAAGCACCTCCAGGGGCTGCAAATACCGGGGAATGGGAGGAGTCCGATCGCGTCGCAAGTGACAAAGAAGCGTTATTGAATGAAAGACGGAGAGTAGTATTAGATATTATAGAGTATGACAGAATTCCAGCAGAGAACATGCACTGGACAGAGTCGTCTGGATGGTATCTGGTATCTGGTATCTCACCAAGGGATCAGATCAGGAGCAGTGCATGGGCGGAGCCGAAGGGAATATGAAACAATCTCCGACAACAACGATAAGAGAGTAAAACGATCGACTAGAGCGAAAGACTGGAATGTGAGATAACGAGAGTGAGGGGATGAACCGTAGAAGAATGAAAGAAGGAGAAGGGATGGAAATGAGATGAGATGGGATGGATGGATGGATGGGATGAGATGAAACTAACGACGGCCGGATGCAATCAGCCCGGCTGAAGCTGCAAACGAACCCGGTGGACCGTCAGGAGCCTCAGGCTACGCTGCACTCGTCGGACCTCCGTTGCAACTCGTTCTGGACCTGGCTGGCCAATCCCACCCTTCCAACTACCCTCACTCCGGTTAGCCCCGCGAATGGCCTCGCAGTCGGGTCGGCGATCATTGGCTACTTTCCAGAAGGATTCTCTGGACAGCGCTGGCTGAAATTAATCCATTATTCGGTGGTGGAGCCGCCCGCCGGTTGGAAATTAGCAGTAGAAGGAAACCGACCGCCACAGCCGTACACAGTAATAAGGCAGCGACTGCTGCAATTTGCAGAGGACTGACTAGCTACCTCTAGTACGGAATACGGAGTAGTAAATACCGGGATGAATATCAAGTTGTGCCTGTCTGATGCAAATTGCAATGTTGTTGATGGCAACCCCAAGTATTCGCCGCCCCCTTTTTAGTAATTCCCCTGTTCCTGATCCAGTGCCCGTCGTCCAGGGCCACCAGATCCGTGGTATGTGCCGACACCTTGTCTGCCAGCCGTGGAACTGATAATCCATTAGGATCCAGCTGGATCATGGATACCACCTACTAGTACCGGAGGAGTAGGACTACACCGTCCCATCACCGTACGGTAACGGGAAGTGCCCGATCGCAACCCCACCCCACTAATCGCTCGGAACCGGTTATCGAGAACTACACGCTGCACTAGGATCAATTGGCTAATGCGGCAGGTTCTTTCTTCATTTCTTGCTGTGTGATACTGGTGTGCATGGAGATCGTGGCAACCGATCAGGGTTCGATCGCTGTTCCTGGCCGTAATTCTGTCGTCATGTCCATTCCAAGGTCCGCCAATTACATCACCGCTCATGCTGCACTGTGCTTCGTACTGCGTGCCTGTATGCTGGCTGATCCTACACTTCCTCTCACATCCATACATAAACACAATCCCAGCCATCCGTACAGCAAGGGATAGTCTGGATGTCCGCTAGAACTTCCAGCCGCCATATGTCGAATTCCCGTTTCGCACCACCTGTGCGAGGTGGCAGGCCTGGGTTTTGGACTTCGGTTGGGACTCCCTCACAATGACATCCAACCAGCGCAACTCTCGTGTGTACCGGGTTTGCTTGCGACCTAGGACAAACCGAAAGGCCGCTGCAGCCAAGTACTCCACCTCGCTCTGATGCACCACGCGGAGAGAAACTGCGGTTGCCGGTGGCTTCGCGCCACGCTTGGCTTGGACCATCCGACTGGCAAGTTGCATCATGTCTCGGACGATGCGGATCACAAGCTCGGGGGCGGGGTGGGCTCGCCCAGAAAGTGACTTCATGTACCGGTACATCTTCATGCCCGAGGTGACGAAATTGGCATATAGGTTCGACAGCACCACACCGATGGTATTGTGCCCGGTGTCGAGGTACATGGGATGCATGAGCAACTTGAACGAACCGAGCAATTTGCGGTGAAGCGTCCGGCCAGGTGCTCGCGTCAGCTCAATGGTGAGCGAATTGGATAAGCTAGTGGCGACCGAATGTCCCCCTTCGAGGATGCGTTCATGATCCTTGTAGATCTCCAGTGAACGGGTATCGATTAGACTTCCGCAGTAAGGGAACAGCCGGGTATCCACAAGGCGCGGGATCTGAGTGCCTTCCACGGCAGCGGCAAAGTTGGTCAGGCTTTTGGTTGGGTTGACTGAAACCCCATAGGCAGGCTGCCCCTTGACCATCACCTGTAGAAAGCGCATGGCCAGTGCGGAGTCGGTGGTGACGAGCAGAAAGTCATCAACCAGTCGAAGCAGTAACGCTTGGTCGGATTGTAGAAAACCCAAAACCTGCCGCTCCATCTCCGCATAGAAGAGGTTGCACAACATGCTCGAGAGAACCGACCCTTGGGGAATGCCATTGCGCTGCCGAAAGCAAGTCCTGCCGAACTTGATCAGATTGTTTCGCACGTGCTCATCGAGCAGGTCCAGTAGATCTTCTGCATTGAACTCTTTCTGTATTAAGGTATCGACAAAGACGGTGTTTCTTCTCTGACTGGTCTCGCCGTTGGTGATCGCATCCATCAAATGCTGTGGCGTTGCTGCAGGGGCTGCTCGGCCGACGAATCGCCGTCGAGCCTTACTTGGCCGGTCTGTTGAAGACCACAGGCCGCTGAATTCCTCGGATGGCGTCATCTCGACATGTTTGGAATAATGGTAGGCCGCTTCGGTGGTCAGTCTCTCTATCAGCTGGACGAGGCTTTGCTGGGGGATCGTATCAAAGCAAGATTGGATATCGAGCTTGACAAAATACAATGGAGGCATCGGAGCCGGCGACAGGGATTCTTTAAAGGCTTTCAGTCGAAACTGAATCTCTCCAACCGAGGTTAAACATGAACCTAGTTTGGATGGTGCTCGCGTCTTTTCGTAGTTGAGCATGCTGTGGATAGGAGCGACGATGGAATTGACGCTTGACCCCCAGAACTTGCTCGCCTTCCGGCCAGGTAATACAGATCGTCGTTTCAGATTCAACAGAGGACGGATACCTGTGGCTTTAGGTAAAAGTCGTAAGGAACCATAGCCCAGACTTCTCTCACTTAGTACACGCTGGGCAGCTGCTGGCTCTAACTCTTCAAAAACGGAAGCTTTCAGTTCAGTCATCGGCCCCTCAGTCAGGCGACGCCAGACATCGTGTCGGAAATAGAAGAGGCGGTTTCGATGGGTCTGAGACTCGGTGACGTAGAAGTTCGCACGGATGAGGGGTATCAGAATGGAATCGAACACATAATATACGAACTCGTGGAGCAACTCCGTGCGCTTGTCCAAGTCTGATCGCGATAGCTTATGCAGCGAAGGGTTGAATCCGGACTTAGAACCAACTGAAGGCTCAAGCCAAGGTATACAAGTTACCTGAAGGCATTTAGTTAGAAAAGCCGAAGAAAAAGAGGATGCCACGAACCTTGATTCCCTTGCACACTTCATGAAGGCTCAGATTCTCAAAACGCCGCATATGGATGAATTGGTCGACATGTTTAAGGATAATGTCTTGATGCTGAATCCTGTGCTGACCAGTTCCGTAGAATTGAGGGGGAACTAGATTCCGCAGCACAGCTCTACAGAATGCGGATACAGATGAGACTGGCGTTGCATAATCCGTCAAGCTGAGCTTTGGCTTTTGGATGACTGGGGCCACATGAGCATCTGAGGATGCTAAGGGATTATTACTTCGATCCAAAGCGGACTGCTGCCAGGGCAGTCGTGGCTGAGTGATCAAGGATTCTGGCGCTGACAGTTTTGGATCTTGAAGGGGTTCAGGACCGAGTCTCCACGGGCCAATACACTGAAAACATTAACTACATTCACAGGAGGGATCGGAAGCATACCTCTGAGGGACAGTAATAGTCGAGTAAATGCACATATGAACAGTGCTTGTTTCGGTTCTGCAATTGCTGCACCAGTTCAATAGCTTGGCCTTGAAGTCTTTTCGGAACCTTGATCAAGGGATTGCTTTCGTCTGCCTTAGGACGCTTTGAGTGTGCCAGCTTCGCTGCATTCGCGATTTCTTCCTCACGAGATGCATAGTCCTTGAAGGGTTGCATGTCCTGGCCACCCGACAAGCTCGAGAAGATATTATGCAAGCCGAACTGTTTTGGGAAGATATATTTCAGTATGTGTACATTGTGAGCGAGAGATTCGGAAGCGGGAAGCCGGTTGAGAACATCTGCTCAAGTCAACATAGAACACACTATCCACATCAATATACTTACGGTTCTTCATCCCAAATTGAATCCTTCCCCTCGAGTCGAGTACTGGGGAAGCATAAAGAATACGTCGACGAAAGAAGACTATAGGAACTGGTGCTTGCGCATGCTTCTTGGCTTTTCTCTCAGGAGCTGACACATCATTTGGGACAGAGGGAGGTGATGTATTCCTGCGGGAATCACTTTGCACCTTATGTACTGGTTCAAGCGTTGAAAGAGGGAGCCCTAACTCATCTCAGCCTGTATACTCTGCTGCTTGCAGTTAAGCCTACCGCTTAGTTGGAAATAGATGCCTCTCTGTTGGTCAACAGCAGTGAATAGTCCACAGTCAAACAGAAGCCGCATCATTATCTCTTCTCCATTACTCCCCAACAAGCCAAGCACTTCTGTCCATGGCGCCTGCTTAAGAGTTTGGATATTGCCATTAGGAAACTGTGCCACAAGGCCTGGAATACTGCATGCAATCGTGCTGTCCCCAGGAACATGAGGCGCGCTCGCACGTCTAAAGCCCCGGGCCAACAGATGACGCGGTTGCTGACGGGAAAATCGATTGTGACTAAATAAAGATGATATGACGAAATCAACGATCTAAAGCATACTGTCAGCCTCTGATGCAAAACGAGGCGAAGACTGGTCTTCTAAATTTTCTAATGAAAAAGAGAACAGAACAACGCATGCTGGTATCATGTACAGATCCGGGCGGATGCATACCTCTGCCTGAGCACATGGTGGGCCGATGTCCGTGCTAGCGAGTTCGGACCTGGACTGCGACTGCGTGAATGCAGCTAGCTCTTGCCGTCGCTCCTCGTTGCACGTGGGAGGAGTCTCCGTCAATATCCCCACCAGAGTTGTATCAAGGAGCTTGGCAAGCTGTGCCCCTGAGCGGCTATCGTTGCTTGTCCCGACAGGAGGCTGGTCATCCCGTACGGACACAATTCTTCGACGGCGAGACCTTGAGGATAGGGGGATTTGGCGTAGGAGATATTGTCTCAGGCTGACCACCTGGGGATAGTATAACGAGATGACAGGATGGGCGTGTTCTTCAGCATGACCACGAGCGAGGCTGCTCTGGCTGCTCTGGTTCTCGAAACCAGTGGATGCGGTGCCGGCCTGAGACGACTTGTCCGGCGCACGGTCACCCTTGACGGGCCTCTTCCTCTTCTTACCCATTGGAGGAGATTCCAGGGACCAAACCAGGTCCCATCGCCGATTTCAAAGAAGTGCAGCTCAGATGGATGGTCGGATCATTACATGGCGACGGCGTACAGAGTCCTCCTTGGCGCTGTGTTGATATGTCCTAAAGGGGAAGCGCGCCTGGACGCGCTCCGGCAACGCGACCGCCCGACCTGCACAGGATTTTACTTTCTTCCATTACCATCCTACATCGTCCAATTGTCCTTTCGCAGACTGTTTCTGAAGATGCAGCTACTCATCTGGCCTTCACACATCCTAACCTCATTGGATAATCTAGGAAGCTGAATCGAAAGCGATCGAAGACAAAGGGACCTGGTGTTTGGGAGTGAAACAATCCCCACTCGTCGATGCAAATCCCGAGGTTGCAGCACTAACGGTCAATAATCGAACTCAACTTGCAGCCCGATAGGAGATGTTCCTACTTCCTCAGGAGGAAAGCTGCTAGGGCAATAGAGCTTGGTTGTTTGAAGCTGAACTCTATTTCGCCTGAGGCGCCAAATCTGGTCGCGTGTCGTCAAGCTATATGAAGCTAGACTTCGCTGACTTCGGAGTGATGCTCCTGAAACTAGAGATTTCCAGGGACGCAGATCCTACGGCAAGGTGGCAACAGGCGACTATCAAATTCCCTTGTGACTCGCAAATTTGACAGAAAACCGTCGTAAGAACCAGAAGACAAGCAGCTCAAATGGACGACCAGACCTCAAATGGCCCAGTAGTGGCATCGGATCGGTAATCTCGCTTCTCGAAGGACCGTCGACTGTAAGCGACCGCCGATCTTTCCCGCTATCGTTCGGTAGTTAGAATGGTACGAAAAGATTTTTATGATCTCATGCGAAGACCCAGCAACCCAAGATGATGTCTCTTCGGCCGTAAGATTTGTAAACCTTAAGACTACATTGCAGACGGGAGAACAACTCTGGCGTGTCTGTCAAAGGGATGCGGATGCAAGAACGCGACATCCGGCGGGCCGCCGGATGGTCACCACCTACGCCAGTGGTTCATATTGATTTCACCTGAGATTCTTGGGCCAAGATCGATTCTAGCAGGGAAGTAGAATCATAGATACACCCACTCGGTTCCCCCTCCAATGCTCGGGGAACAGCTTTGGCCAGGTGAAAACAACATGACTCCTAATGATGAAAGTCGGATCCGGATTGCGGATGTGACGGTGGCTGGAAGCGGAACATTGCCCAACCAGCCGAATCGCGAATGACCTGTCGATCCCTTGTTCCTGAAGACACCGCCGGACAAGAATAGAAATCATAATGAGGTTGTGGTCAACTATCGTAGCCACGGTGCCCGCACGGACAAGGATGGGGAGGGAAGCCCAGATCCTTGGAACGACGGTGGTCTAGAAAGGCCGCCGCTAGGCTTTAGCAGCATCAGCATTCCCGAGCCACGACAATCCATCGCAAATAATTGCGTCCCCACCGCGTCAGCCTCTCGTCCTGCGGAGTCTGGGGGATTTTGCGACAGGCTAGCGCTGAGTGAATAGCCCATGTCGGCATGTTTTGCATGCTCGCCAGGGGCTGTTCTGCCTGCTGGTACCTGATCCCAGTTCCGGCGCCCTGGAAAGGGGAAATCCAGAGGCTGAAGGTGTTGCTGCATGAAACTGCCGATTGCTCCGTATGATCATACCATGCGCCTCACTGGGCTTTGAATTCGGACTGCAAGGACGGCCAATTGATCAGACTTAGGAAATAAGCGGTGTGATTGTAAAGGCTTCGCCCGGCCGAAGAGGTTTCCTCCATGGATCGGGGGAGCGATACATCGTCGTGATGGAATGGGAGCTGGTTGAAAAGCAGACGAGCCCGTCCACTTAGATCGCACCACGACTTATCATCATATAGTCATACAGGTACCCACGGAGCACTCCAAACTAGATTAGACTCTTCCACGACCACTCCAAGACCGGGTCTAGTGGAGCGAATCAAGTACGTCATGATTCCGGTGCAGGCGGTGACATGCGACGGGATATTGACAGATGCACGCTACAAACCATAGCAGAAGTCAACCAGTATACCAGTGCCAATGGATTTCATCCGTGGTTGTCTGTATATGTCTACTCCGTACTCCGTACTGACGGTCATAACAATCAAGTCACAATGACCAATTCTACTCCGTACTTCCAGGTACATTGTCAACGAGGGTATCGCGCTTGTCAAGATCTGGCAAATCCTTCAATCGACTTGCAGATCGACTAAACTAGATGGAATGTATGCTGGCTTGGCAAGGGAAATGGCGCTTCTTGTAAGATTAATCGTCCACCGGCAGCACATTTGCTGGTTCTGGATAGGTCGATTAAGCCGACATCCTTCCCTCCCAGGAGGACCGTAGTACCTCGCCTGTAAACCCCAGGCCAATAATCTCACCCACTCAGGTGTCACAAGAGGTACGGTTTATGTACCATGTACCACTCACCTACACTTTTAAGCGTGCCCGGTCGTTGTACTGGCTCGATGTAGTTATTCCGACACACCGACTGAGCAGCCCAATATGACCCCTTCCTCCTCCCTTGCTCCCACGATGGCACCGACGAACGGATGGAAGGCAGAGGAGCAGCGAACGATGATCACGGAGACCATTTACTTACTTGAGGCCGGGTACTTCATCCGTGGTTCCATGAGAGGAGTCATATTCGACACAAGCAACTGCTATCTCCTTTTCTGGAAGGTCACCGGATGGATAGATCGAGGTATCTTCGGATCCTACCACCATAAACTCTTCATTTTTATATAACACTCACCATAGAGATTCTCTGTAGTAGATAAACTAGTAGGGTCATCGCAATGAGCATGTCATAATGGCCTCCGTTCAACCGAATATCTTCGCTGGTTCCGTACGATCTGATTGATGCCTTATGGGTCAAGCATCGGATAACTAACTATCTTACTGTAACGTGTATGTAAGCCACACATGGTACGCCGCCAATACGTAAGGTACAGGGATGAGAGGATAAGCATAAGCATCGAGCACCGCTATCGAGGCATTGGATACATATCTAGCGCTGGCCAGGATCACAGGGCCCAGCGCGGCGCAGCACCGGCATTGTCGCCCAGACGGCAAACAAGGGAAATCTCAACGAGAGAGGGGAACCGTCAACGAATTCCTTCCTTGCTCCGGTGCTGGACATGTTGGAGGACCATGGACCTGCCAACGCCAATCAAACAAAGACCGGTGCATGAGACCGAGTCCCATGGAACAACCCAGGGAGTGAACGGCGGGATCATGTAATCAAACTCTATGCGCTTTCTTTTTTCCTTCTGCCCCGGTGTTGGAAAATCTAGAAGCAAATTTCCCTCGAACGTCTCCTGATCCGACGGCTGATAAGGCGCTAGAGTGCCTCGCAGCGGATAGGTCTGGTCGTCCACCATATAGTCCTTCCTGCTGCCTCACTAACTGCACAGTGCGGGAATGCCGGCCACTAATCCGTGGGATCGGCAGTCAATGGTGATCTAGATAGATAGATCCTCACGGTTGTCCGTTTGACGAAAGTTCCTTTCCCCCCTTGACTTTGTCTTTGTGTACGGAACAGAGGCAGCTCGGCTGTGGCTGCCAGAGGAATGAGAGATCGGATTGCCTTCGATCATCAATGATCAAAAGCGTTGGTTGGATGAGTAACCGTCTGCTTCGTCATCTGGCACTTTTAGGCCGGTCTTTCAAGATCTAAGACCAGGACTAGACCGCCGACTAGTCTCCCGTAGGGACGGTTTCAGGTACTGACATTACCGTACATACCCGGTCTTCCCCCCAACACAGGATCATTTTTTCAGGCTGGATGGTGTGGAAGATACGTATTGGCATCGGACATCGAGACCCTACCTTTTTCTTTTTCTTTTTTCCTTTTTTCCCCTTATGTCCTTTTTCTTTCTGTGCTTGCTTTTTTTTTTTTGAATTCTTCATTTTCCTTCTCTATCTATTGGGCAGGAATTCAGTTCATCACCATGTCTTTATTCATGATGCATCCAGGTGGCTCTAGCTTTCAGGTTTCCCCTCCGTCCTCCTGGCTAGTTGCTCCCCCAATTTAATTGTTCGCCGGGCCCCTAATCCACCTTCTCCGCACCCACACCCAAACTGTCGTAGACTGCGAGTAAATAATACCTAAGTAGTAATTCTATTCCTAATAATAATGGCCATCGGAACCGGGCTCCCTAAACCCAAAGAAAAATAAAAATAAGTACGTAGGAAACACGGACACCACCTTCAAACAGGGCTGCTGGTTGTTGGCCCACCTGCAGCCCTTCTCAATCGACAGGACCCCCCAGGCCGATTCTGGGCTTGTCGCCCATGATTCCTATTTGATGGGTATCATTTGGCTACCGACCCTACACCTGTTCGTCATTTCCCCCCCTCCTCCCCCGTTCTCCTCTTTCTCTCTTCTTCTCTCAACGATTATTATTACTTCAGTCTGACCCTGCCACTTAGACCTCAGCAAACCCAAACCCCTCCCGACCCGCCTTCAACCCTCCGTCCCCTGTTAGACGCCGTGCAAACGTCCTGTCCCGCGCCCGTCTTACTTGGGCTGTTATCACAGCACACTCCCTCACTGCCTTTTCCTTCTTCCCGACGGTGCTGTGTCATTGCCGTCTGCTGGTTGTCCTTCCCACCCCCTCCCTCCCCTTTGTCGGCTTCGGATTTCTCGCCTCTCAGTCCAGTTGGAGGGGTCGGTCAACAGTGGGACAAAATCCTCCGGTCAGGATCGTCCCCCACTGGCTTGTTGGTGGTCTTTCTTTCATCTCAAATATGACGCCGTGCTCGGGTGGTACTAGTACCCGGTGACGAGTGCCTTGTAGTTCTGGCCGGTTAACCTGCAATATCATCGGTGACCTACCAGCTGTGGACAACGCATCGCAAGATTAGCACCCTTGAACTGGAGCAATCACAACCAACCATTCTGCTGGGTATTTATTTTCCTTGTCATGTTTTTTTTTAATGCCCCATTTTGTTCCTTTTGAGAAATCCAACCCACGGAATCTCCGGCTGATTCTCTGCCTGAAGAATGCAAGATGTCCGAGGGTGATGTCGAGCCCGTTTCTGGCCTCTTTGACGGCAGTCCTCGTCAGTTCCGGCGTCTATCCTCCCAAAGCACCACCGAATACTTCTATGACGCCCTTTCCAACGGCGCTCGTGACGACCCTCTAGCCGCGCTGTCCTCCACTCCTGTTCCCTTGCTGTCGGGTAAAACATATCCCTCTCAGCCGGGTCTCACAAGTCTGCAACCCTTTCCTGCACCTACCAGCATCTCCCCGGAAGACCTTCGCGACAGTTTCGGCCGATCCTTGCCTGACCCAGACGACTATTATCGGCCACATTTGCCCACGGTGGCGGCAAACGACGAAGGTGGTCTCGACTCCAGTGGTCGTCACATGGGGGAGGTCGACGGCGACGCAGCCGCAGAGCAACGTCCCAGACACTTCCAGCGTGTGGCCTCGGTACCCATACACCTGTTGGAGTCATCAAATGCAAACTCGGGTCCGTTCCGTTCGGCTTCCGATTCATCATATAAGGGTGTTGGGCACGAATCTACCTGGGGATCATCGTCAGCGCGGGCGTCGACAGCACGGTCAGGGCAAACATCATTCAAAGATCTGATCAATAAATTCAACAACAACGTCGATCACGTACTTCCTGTTCCAGCCACAGCCACAGCCAGGTCGCGAGTAACCTCGAGGCCTGTCACTCCGACCAGTCCCACCGAAGCCCCTCGAGCCCTTCCTCGCCTGCGCGAACCACATAACCTTCCGACGAGACAGCACTCTCACCACTGGCATCCCACGAGTGTATTTGATACCGATTCTTCATCCGACCTTATTCCACCCCCACTCCGGACGACTGACGTCGATAATAATCCTTCGAGCAACGTGACATCATCGGACGCGATCCTGCGACGGCCCCTGCTTGGCGAAACCCTTCGGATCGATACGAGCCCGCAGATTTCTGGATATGGAACATCGTCGACTTTGTGGCGTCGAGGTTCAGATGGGATTATTCCGAGCCCAAATCCAGCGTTCTTAGATCATCTTGATCCTTCGGCCGGCGTGACGCCCCTGACCCCCACGGCGTGGTACCTGGGACGCACACCGTTTCTGGAGGCTGTGAGCTCGGGATCGAGTGTTCACCGGAGAACGAGGAGTGATATTGCTGGAAACTGGTCTGTTGAGGCCGCGCACGCTCCCGACTCCCACATGGCGGTTCCGGCCCCCTTGCAGCCCAATTCCCAAACATGCCTAGACAACAACCCGCAGACGACCAAATCACGCATTCCGATTTCATCCCACCGCTTGAACTCGCCTTCCGCTTCGGACGAGTCTCCTCCCCCTTCAAGGGCGGGCGCCAATTCCGGAAACCGGGCTGCCGTTCAAGTCCATCTGCCACCCAAGGGCACCAGCCGCCTCCCTAAACCTTCGCCCAAATCGCCGCGTGACATGCCTAAAAATGATCAATCACCCGGTGGTACGGCATCGCCACGCGCAAAGCGGGAAATGGCTCATGGACGGTCCCGCCAGCAGCTTCCTGAACGAAATGCACTGTTAGAAGCGTACATTGCCGCGCCGCCTCCGAAAAAGTCCCCCCAGTTGCGCAGCTCCCGGCCGCGCCAGCCTGTCTCACACACTCAGTCGTCTCGATCGAAGGTGGTTGAAACGGTGTCCAATTTTCAGAGACAGATCAACCGCGATCGGGAGATCAGAAACTCCAGGGCTCGTGAACGGCGATTACCGGAATTGGGCCATGTCGACTTTGCAACTAGGCGCGAGAAGATCCAGCAAGCTTTCAATCGCACCGTCCAGGAGAATGAGAGGAAGGAAGAGAAGGCCGCCGAACTCCGACGTCAAGCCAAAGCCCATGAAGACCAACACGAACGCACTCTATCCCCTACGGCCGAACCACCACAGCCTGTGGAAATAGAAGCAGAGCCTGCTTCGCATCTTGAGGATAACGCAACGGTGATTGAGGAAGTGGCTCCCGATGAGGAATCAGACCCAGTGCCCGAAACGCAGAATTCCCGACCGCTACCTGAGCTTCACGTCGAGACCGATGTCCCTACCCAGGAAAATGCAGAAGGCATCTCCGCCACACATATGATGACGATGGATTCCCCAACCCTCGGACACGCAGATATCATCCAGAGCGGCCTATCCCACGCCCCTCCCGCGTCTGATGCCACCTCGGACTCGAACGACACTCATGTGACTGCCTTTGATACAGAACCACAAGTTGACTTGTCACGGCAGAACCTGCATTCTTCGCATCGGACGCTGTTGAGCCAGATCATGAATATCCGGGAATCCAGTCCAAGCAGCTCATCGTGTGATGAGCAGGAGTGTAGCTTCTCTGAAATCGACGACACGGAATCCGTACCTGTGAGGTTGAAGAATGCTTTCTCTTTTGAGGATCACGCGGACAGCAGCGATAACCCAGAATCGTGTGATCTATACATGCAACACGGTGCGACGAACGGAGCGACACCCAATAGATGGAGCATGAGTTCTTGGTCGTCGTCTCTTCGCAACCAACATTCCGCGGACGAGCAGTGCGACCACAGTGGAGATGACTTCTCCCAGCTACAGCAGTGTGCGGAGGATAGTGAAGCCGCAACCCAATCCTGCTCTGCGTCTTCCAGTACTCCATCCACGACCGGCCATCAGTACTCGAGCTCCGACACCCAGAAAATCGACGTCACCCCTGAGACCAGACATGCCGCGGTATCTCAACCCAATGGCTTTGCATTTTCAAGCGCCTCGAGCTTGGCAAGACTGGGCGGGTGGGATTCCAAGAGGGTCGGCCAACTTTATCTGCAGGAGCTAGCTAATGGCAGAGGGCTTGGCCTTCCTTTGCCAGCAGTTCGCGCGTCTCCAGAGCTGTCACAGTCTCATCTTGACCGAAATGCAGAAGGAATGCCTAAGAATTTGCCTGATGGCCCGGTTCTTGTATCTCGTATAGGAGATCCCCCTAATTTGGAGCGACCGGGACATACGGCAAGCCTAGTTCTGCGTGATGACTGGGAACATGCGTCCCCATCGATCATGGACTGGATGCAAATCGCCGCTGCTGAGGACGGCTCTGTTTTACAAGAGCAGAATGGCAATGCACGCCCTAGGCACGACAGTGCGCCGACTCCGCGATTAGTAACGCCGAACCCACAATCATCATGCTCAGAAGAGGGCGATGAAGGATTAGGCCTGGCTATCAAGATCCACGTGCCGCAAGAGCTTGAGGCTCACGAGAAACCTTTACCCCCTTCCGAGCCGCTAGGCGAGGGTGCATCGATCGACAATGTTGTCGTTCAACGGCGACCACAGCTGCCTTCAAACGTCAATGCCGAGCAACGGTTTAGCACGATCCTTTCCGGTATATTTGCTCCGTTGGACCCTGTTCAGAGCACCGGTAGTAGCGAGGATTCCTCTCTGCGCAAGCTTGAGCCAATACCGTCCCCTAACACATTCGACTCGTCTTCTACCTCACTAGTTCCTTCAACATCCGAGCCATTGCGTCTCAAGGCACCATCTCCCTCGCCAGAGCAACGGCGTCTGAAAAAGCGGCGACATGTGATCAAGGAACTTGTCGATACGGAGTACACGTTTGGAAGAGACATGAAAGTCGTGGACGATATATACAAAGGAACATCGAGTTCATGCTTGGATCTCTCTGCGGACGACGTCAAGATTCTTTTCGCCAACTCGGACCAGGTGGTGCAGTTTTCGATGGCGTTTCAGGATGCACTCAAAGAAGCGGCCAAGAGCGTTTATGTGATGCCCAAGTCACAACGTTGGACCAGCAAACGCAATGCGCGCCATAATACGTCCAGGACCGAGTCGGAGAACTCAAACACAACGGGAATATCCGATCTAGACAAGGACAAGATGACGTACATCGGTGAGGCTTTCATGGCGCAAATGGCCTACATGGAGAAGGTTTATGCCGATTATCTCAAGAACCACGACGCTGCCAACAAAAAGCTTCAGACGCTGCAGCGTAACCCCAAGGTTGCGATCTGGCTTAAAGAGTGCCGAGACTGGGCGTCTGATCTGACAACGGCGTGGGACTTGGATTCTCTTCTTGTCAAGCCAGTGCAAAGAATCTTGAAATACCCTCTCTTGCTTTCCGAACTCCTCGACTCGACCCCTAGCGACCATCCCGACCATCCAGCTCTTGTGAGTGCCCTCGAGGAGGTTACGAATATATCTGTCCGTATCAACGAGATGAAGAAACGGGCCGACCTGGTGGGCCAAGTGGTTGGTCGCAAACGAAAAGAGTCCGATGTCAGGACGGGCCTGTCCAAGGCCTTCGGCCGACGTACCGAGAAACTGAAGCAGCAAGTGGGTCTTTCCGACATGATCGAGGACAAGGTGTATGACACGCTCGCTCAAAAGTTTAACGACAACTTTTTCCAGCTACAACTGGTCATGCGCGACGCTGAGTTGTATACTCGCGAGGTACAGACTTCCATGCACGGGTTTAATGAATTTGTTGCGGCGATTGAAGGGTTCGTCGACGTGTCCCCATCCAACTATGCCGAATTGGAAGGCAGATGGCGTGAGCTGAAGGTCACTGTTGGGGAAATCATGACTGTGGCGTTGCCCGAACACGTAAGTGGAAACTCGAAGTGACTTATTTTCTTCTGATGCGTGCAGCTAACCTGAGTGATTGTGGTTCAGCTTGCGGTGGTTCGAAAGAGTGTCATTGACCCAATGGTCACGTTGCTCAAACTCCACGATGGCCCGCAGAGAGTGATGAAAAAGCGCGACAAGCGTCTCATGGATTACGCTCGCTTCCGAAGCATCAAGGAACGAGGTGATAAACCGGACAAGAAGACGACCGAACAAGGCGAACAATTTGTGGCGCTGAATGAGACCCTCAAAGACGAACTCCCCAAGCTCTATTCACTGACCGCCAAATTGATGGAGGCATGTCTCAAGAATTTCGTGAATATCCAGACTACTTGGTTCCGCCAACTCCAGAATAAGCTCGGGTCTCTGTTCGAGTCGTTCCCCGAAGATATCCAGAAGATTGTGGAAGACTGGTCCTGCAACTTCAATTACTCTGAGGCGCAGGTGCTGTCTCTGGGAATCTGCAATGGCTCGCTGCTGGCTGACACCGTCAACCTCGTCAACTTCAACACGCCCTCCACTGGGGCCAATATCAATTCGCCCCGACGACCGTCCACTGTTAACAGTGTCAGTACCCGCGTGGGATCGATTATGGAGGATTCGCCCAAGGTGTCTCAGGATTTCGGCAACGGCCCTCATTCTTTCCATTCGCCCAGCTTTGACAGCCAGTCTCAGGTGTCTCATGGACGCCACAGAGCCGATTCGACGTTCTCCGGCCGTGTGGGACATGAAACTGCTGAAATTCCCAGAAGTCAACTGCTGCAACAGATTACCAGCACATCCTCCGGGTCTATCCCAGCTTCAAACACGAACACCGAGTCTTTCCCAAGTCTACCTCGACTGAGCCTTGATTCCCCTTTCCTGGTTGACGTCATCGGTCCTTCGAACGAGGGGACGAAGCCCGAGGATGAGCGTCCTACATCTCCTGACGGGCGGTATTCCGGCTTTTTCTCCTCCGCGATGCCCATGTCGGACAATCCCCAGGATAACGCACCGGCGCATCACGAGCCTCCTCACGAGCCAGCCGTGCTGTTCCTCGCTGCCAGCATCTATGAATTCAACATTGACCGCGCGCGACGGGAGGCTGGCTACCCTTACCTGACCTACGTTGTTGGAGAGATCTTTGATGTCATTGCGGAGAAAGGGGAGCTGTGGCTCGCCAAGAATCAGGATGACCCTACTCACCAGGTTGGATGGATCTGGAACAAGCACTTTGCAAAGCTGTCAACCTGAGCTCGAAGTGCAGTACGCTTCTTATCCTTGTGCTCTTTTCCCGAGTGATGCTCGCCACCCTGGCCGTGCATTCTCTCGATGGGTACTATATACAGCTCATCAAGCTATCTATTGTCATCCCGCGTGGGCATGGCGTCCCTTGCGGGCTTGTAATCGTTCTTTTTGCCTTACTCGATTTGTGTTTTTAATGCTTACATTCAGCGGGCGAGGTGGAATCTAGTGTTGGCGAATACCTGGTTATGTGGTTTTGATATTGTGTTGAATCTTGTGACGGACTGGAGGGAGGATTGTTGGAGGCTCTGTGCTACGGGGTGTTTGCTATTTCTTGCTTGTCCTGGCCATTTTGCGTCCCAAGAGACCTTGATCTGTACTTTTAGATACCCCTTGATTAAAGTGAATGGATTACGTTGAGTTGAATGCCTGCCGGTCACATGTACCATCGACATACTCCGTACTCTGTAGTATGACTCTCGGTGGCACGTGAAGACACCGCCACAAGTGACGTCTTGGGCGCCACAACCCCGGAGTGGCTGAGGATCGCCGGCGGAACCAAGTTTCGCTTTGCGTCCCTCTCCTCTCCTCTCCTCTCCCTCCCCTCGGCCAATTGCTGGGTCTAACATCGATCTCCCTTGCGCCTCCTTTCTCTCTCTCCCGTCGGGCCCATTTCCTGCCGTATGTGATTCGACCACCACAGCTGGGGATCGCTTCAACCGGCCGATTCCCTCTCTGTCCTTATTGATCCTCCACCCGGCAAACAACGGCCCAGGCAGACAAATACCGACGGCGTCGCCTGATCGACCGACTACCTTTCGTATATATATGCTTGTTGCGCAGGGTTAAAGGCTTGCACGTCGCGCCTTTTCCGCACCGTTTTCGTGGGTCTAGACCGGACCATCCTTCGGAATTCCGGTGTCCGCTTGTGGACCAACCGTTCGGTCGAAATCGAGGAACATAACGTAGTTTGGGGGCGGACACGATGCGAGACGGTGGCCTAGGAAAGTTACAAAGAAGGATGCGGAGGTTTGGCGATACAGTAGGTCGACCAGACTGGTCCCCTGTCCATCTTCGGTGCAGTGCGGGGTCTGTCGGCTTGGGAAATGGACTAAACTTGGCGTAGTTGAACCCGGACGATGCATATCTAAGCTGTAAGTTATTTCTTCTCTCTGTCTGTGGAGATATGTAGACAGTTCTAATGATGGATTAGATCATGATGTTCGATGTACGTTCCGTGCCAGACCAACAAATGCAGTAGTGTTGTCATTGGCCAAGTCTAACCAATGGGTATAGTAACAAGAGGGGACATGCAGTCGCTGAAGAATGACTGGCTCACTGACAATGTTCGTATGATTTTACTGTCTTCTATCGTGTGGCGTTCAGCTAACATGGCCAACTCACAGATCATCTCCTTCTGGGAGGAGTAAGTTTCCTGCCTCACGGCGACAACAGTTCTTGGGCTTACCAGATCAACCACGTTAGATATCTTGAGCATGAATTCCTCACTCAATACAAGTCCTCAAACATCGTCCTCCTACGGCCGAGTATGTCGTTCATGATCCTTCAAACGCCAAACCCTCATTCTCTGCGTGAAGCTCTCCCTGACTTCTCGCGTACCACGCACGTGTTCCTCCCCATCAACGATTGTCGCAATGTGACCGAAGCCGAGGGAGGCACGCATTGGTCGTTGCTATTGATCTCGATTGTGGACGGGATAGCATTTCACTATGATTCACTTCCGCCAGGTAACTTCTGGGAGGCGCGGACAGTGACGATGAAATTCGGGGCTCTACTGGGCCGACCGATACGATACGTCCATTTGGAGGACTCGCCTGTGCAGGAGAATGGCAGCGACTGCGGTGTTTTTGTGTGCTTGAGCATGCGTCATCTGCTGCTGAAGCGACTGCTCACAGCCAACGCCAACGAGAAAGTCAGCATGAGTCTTGGCGGGCGGAAAGTTGATGCTCGTTCGGGGCGGAAGGAAATCGCCAAGATTATTGAAGGCTTTCGCAAGGAGGGCGAACGGCGGAGATCGTATGTTGCCTGCTTCCACCTATGAACCCTACTTACACGCCGTCTGCAGAGCCAGCTTAAGCCCGCTGGGCAAGAAATCGACCAGTCCTCCGCGGATCGAATAATATCATCATCCGACAAGTTGGCGGCGTCAGAAGGTTTGTACATTGCAGTTGATACCAGGTCATGATATGCATACGCCAGGTCGTACTGGCCCTAAGCTTTGGCTACATTTGCTTTGGTTCTTTGATTCCTTGGTTGCTTGCTTATAATTATCGTTGGTGCTCATTGGTTACTGTGAGGGCATTTTTATGGGCTAATGAGTGATGCCAGGCATTCTTTCTGTCTTGCATTCAGCACTGTTGATTGGTTTCGGAGATTCATATTTTTATGCTGGCTTGGACTAGCCTGTACTTAATTATTTGTCGGACATATAGGTGTGGAATACATCCACTCTTCATGGTTATATTCACTCTATCCATAGATACCTTTGTATCCTGATTCACTGCGTAATTTTACCGTTGACGATTCACTACCGGATACTACTGTAGTATAGAGTGAGAGAGCAATCCAATTACCACACAAAGTAGATGCATATTGCGTATCCTACCTGTCAAGTCGTTGTTGACTTTGCTCATCTTCATCAACTTATAGTGATTGTCCTGATATGTGGTTCCACAGGAGGGTCGACTACTCAACAAAATACAGAGGAATTTGCTCTGGACGTATATCACTACAGATGCTGTAGCCAGACCTTTGCTATTAGTGTCACTACCCAAAATTCTACAAGCAATCTTCTCAATATCGACGCTTATAATGCTGATCAGGTAGTTCAGTATGCCTCTATACTGGGGATGGTCTGAAGGACATGTACGTGTCGTATGGTAGTGACCTGATGTTTGTACCTTCCTCACCTTCACTGCCGCTAGCCCTACAAGGTAACGACATCTCGCTTTGTTGCTTCCAACTCCTCCATCGTAGTTGCCTCGACAGCATCTCTGGCAGCGCCCCATCTCAGTCTGATGATCTTCTCTCCTCTCCTTTCTCTCTTTTCCTCTTTTCCCCTTTTCTCTCCATACCGTTTGGTTCCTTGATGCTAGTATCGTGTTTATCGCGTTGCGACCCCCCTCAAGCCCATTCCGTATTCAGCTTTTAGCTTCTTGCTTCATGCTCCCCTGCCGTGTCCCTTGCTCTTCTTCTCGCCCTCCCCTTCAGCCTTCTTATCCGTTGTTTGACCAGGGTGTTCAGATGGCTCGCCTCTGTCTCCCTGGGTTGCCCGTTTACAAGTCGCCTCTAGTCCCCCGGTTTAAGACGCAACCACCCTTCCAGTCCTTTCCGATTCCCCCTGTCGCCCGGTTCGTCTTTCGCCGGAACTACGAGGTTCCTTCCCACTCCTTTGCTCCTTCGCCCGTCTCGATCCCCCGAGCGGGTGTCCGTTCCTTCAAGCCAGCTTCTGGCGTCCGCTCCTTTGCCCAGATGCGAATTGGTTCGCGTCTGCCTGTTCCAGTAAGGAAATCCACTCCTTCAACTGTACCACCTGCCCCAGCTCCCACTGGGGCAGGGCGCTCGCTAAACCCCTCCGTTTCTCGTCTCGAGGAACGAAGAGCAGCTCGACAGGCCCGATCTCGACCCTGGGTGTCGCCCAAGTCGCAGAGTCAAACCGAGTCCCGCGAGGGACACCTGTCGATGTCTCGCCCTTCGCCTTCGAATCCTCCCCGTCGCTCGCTTCGCCCTGCCCTGCACCGGCCCGTCGCTGTTTCGTCACAAGCTCAAAGGGCGATCGGACTGATCGATGCGGTTCTTGCTAAGCCTGCTCCGGCTTCGGCTGGGGTAGGGGGACGCAAGGCCAAGTCTGTGAAGTCTGTTCGTTTCGGAGAGACCACCGTCGTTACCGTTTCCCGTTGGATCGATCGTCGAGAGAACGTTTTCCCTGCGCCGCTCGCTGCCATGGGCCACCTTCAAGGATGGAAGGTCACGCCACTATCGAAGCCCGATGAGGATGGGGAGACAGAGAAGTATACCACGTATTGGGGGTCCGACTCCTATATCATGCTAACTTCTAGTCACTCCGCCTCGGAGTCGTGCGGACGGTACGGCTGCGCGTGGAACCGACTGGCTCGCATCGCGGGCCTGAAGCCCACGTGGGGTCCGGCTACCGTCTTCATGGCTTGGAATCGGCTTCGAGAGCAAATCCGTCAACGTGGGGGATACCGGCTGTAAGTTGGTCCTGCTCTGCGTTGTCTGTCACTCGTTCCATTTTGCTCACCCACACTCGTTCGGCCCTGCCTTCCATTCACCACTCGTTTGTATCTCATCCATTTGGGGGCCTGGCTCTGGTCTGGGGGATCAGGCCATCCAGGTCTGCTAACCGGGTAGCAGTTCGGGCTGGCGTATATCCTGCTGTGGTATTGGTGGCGCATGATGCATGAGAAAGAGGTAAGAGCATCCCCGGGTGCAGCGTGCATGTACTGACGATTGTAGGATACCAGTGAAGAGGGTTCCCTATCAACAGGGGTAATGACGCACACCTGTACGCAGGAAGTAAGACGTAGACCCTCGCCTGGGCGCCAGCACCGATCCACCGCTGCCGCCGTAGCTCGATGCCGCGATGACGCCGACGACCGACGAGACGACGACAATCGACTGACGACCGAGCAACCCGACGACACGATGATACAGCGACAACCGACTACGACCGAGCAACCCGACGACACCGACGACGACCGACGAACCGAATGAGCTACGGCAGCAGCAACGGGACCAAGTGGAGGATATTGGAGAGGTAGGGTTCTTCATAGGTATTTGCTTAGTCAATTAGCACTGACAGGATTATAGTGGCAGAGGGGGGGTACTCCAGGGGAGTTTGTTGGCTGGAGGATATATGGAAGAAGGTACGTTGAAAAGCAGTACAGAGAATGGAGGCTAATGATTGAATAGCGGGAGATTGTTGGGGAGGGCGGAGCGAGGGAGCAGGATGGGGAGATTTCTTTTGTCTGTCTTTTTGTTTTTGTCTATTGTTTTGGATTATGGGATTGCTTTGTTTTGGAGTTGGCCACGGTTCGTCACTATATTTCTTACATTCGACAAGGCCCGGCGTTAGGGTTTGATTTGGATTGTGATGAGAGATTCCTGTTTTTAGTTAGTCTGAATGGACGTCATGCCATTCAATGGTTCTGGAGTGTAGTACTCGATGACATGGGGTTGTAAGATGGATGCAGTATATTGTGTATCACAGCAAAGATCAAGATAGCGCCAATCTAGAAGAACAACAAGATCAAGGAATCAAACCAACCAATGCAAAGCAAATCAATGAGTCAATCAACGCCGTCCTGTATGCCTCTCTCTCTCTCTCCCCTCCTGTTCTGCTGCATCGATCTAAGCACTCGCAATCAACTCATTCCACAAATCCGCCGCATCCTGTCCCACTCTCCCCGTCAACATCACCTGCTGCTCCGCGGCCCAACACGCATCCACCGTCTCCTGAGGGGCCTTGCACGGAGTGGCCAACCGATTACAAATGAACCCCATCAACGGCTCAATGGTGGGAGAGAGATTATGCGGGAAATCCAACACATTATTGGTCGTGAAGGACCAGCTGGGATGACCGTCGAGGGCATATTTATAGGATATGGTGGGGGATGTGCAGGCCCCGTATGCAGAATTCCCAGCTGTCGTATTTCCTGTCGATGGATTGGATGTGCTGCTGCTGCTGGTGGTGGTGGGTGCAGTTGCGTATTGCGTTACCGTCACTGTCCCTGGTTGCAGAGATGTCGTAGCGGTTGCTGTAGTAGTAATGGTAGCCGTAGCAGTAATCACATCCGTCTCGGTCTGCGTCACCGTGACTTGGGGGAGAGTGATGGTGGCCGTGGAGGTTACGGTGGCGGTGATGATGTCAGTTTCGGTTTGGTATTCTGTTTGGGTCTTCGTATAGGTCTGGGTGGTGGTTTGGGTGGTTGGTTGTGTAACCACCGTGGGCCCGCTTGGAGGAGGGGGGGGATTGGTATGAGTTTCTGTGGTTGTTGTTGAGGTGGTGATCGTTGCTGGGGCTGAAGTTGGGGATTGGGTCGCGGCTGGATAGGCAGTACTGGAGTCTTTGTCTGTGCCTGTGCTGGTATCTGTAGCTGTGCTGGTAGCTGTACCCGTAACGAAGCCGGTAGTGCTGATACCTGTACCCGTACTGGACCCTGTTTCCGAGGAACTACACCCCCATCAATCCCACATTAGCATTACATCCACCATATCCAAACCCCCCAGTATCAGGAGAGGGAAAGGTAAACTCACGTAAGGGATCCACCAACACCATCTCCTTGACCATCATCCCCATCGCCAAGACCACCGTCCCCGTGATCATGATCACAAACATAGCCTGTGTAATAACCGTCGCCATAAGCATTCCCGTTGTTAGCGTTGTTGTTGCTAGGAGAGTTGTTAGAGAGGGTGTCCGGGGCGGGGGTGCAGCCTTTCCAGGCTGTGCTGGTGGTGGTGGTGGTGGCATTCTGGGTGGGAGTAGTGGTTGTGGGGGTAGTGGTGTTAGGATGTAATTGTAGATCTGAAATGGAGAGATTATTCCCCGTGATGGTGATGGAGTCTGGGTTTGGGTCTGGGGATGGATCAGGAGACTGGGATGGATCTTGGGATGGAGGTAGGGCTGGATGAGCGAGGAGAGAAACTGGCAAGACCTGCAAGAGCAGGATAGTTGGGAGGAGCCACGGGTTGTGCATGGTGTTTATTTCTCTTCTGTCTCTCTTGAAGGATGTGGTGTGGGGTGTGGATATAGATATAGATGTAACTGTCTCAGGGTGAGTACAACGATACTTTAAATAGGAATATTCAAGACAAGCAGGATTGTTCACGGATACTCATACTCATCCAATCTGTCCACGGCAATGGGATATATTATCCGTTTTATATGTTCCCTACCATCATCCTTGCTCAACTTATCCCATCCGATGAACGCGGTCCATAGACAAGAAGTATGTTATGTCCAAGCAAGGCCTAGACCTACCCATCTAAACCCCATGATCAAAACTTGATTATTTCTCTGAATCCGTATACATCAAGGACAAGGTATAAGCAACTGATCAATTACCTTGAAAGTGAAGTCAACGCTCTCGTCGGTAGACAATGTCTTTGTCACCCGCTTTCGCTGTGTCGTCGGGCTCGGCCCGTTTCCGGTCCAGGTTTTGACATTCCCGAGTCAGGTTCCCTGGCGAGTCGGACGGAACCATACTTCATACCATATATCATATGTACAGGAGTAAATATGTACATTGTTTGGCTGCCATTCATATGATAGGTCGGGATTTGCTTTTCTGAGTGTGAATTGTAAGAGGCTTATTGGGTATGTTCACGGTGAAGTCGGGTTAGCTGGGTGGGTGGCTGTCCGGACGCGATCATGACGTGTGGTATGTACTGACTCAGTCCGTACTTGTGGTCCTTGGTCACCAGTCTCCATGCTACACAGTATTGAACCTGCTGATTCGTACTGTGTAAGCAATTCTCGATGAAATACTATGATCATGTCGATCAGTGGCACTGATGTAATCGCCACAGGGACACTTGGCTTACTTCCTGGAATTCTGTTGGCCACCGCTCTCGGTAGCGGGCACGGCCCAGATACAATGCATCGGCTGGAATACTATGTAACTACTCGTGTACGTATTACTAGGGGTAACCGGCAGATAGGAGATGTAACCAGCGATGGAAAAGACAGCTAAACCAGAAGCAGTGCCACATAGTATTCACTAAACAGTTCCCCGAACGCCGCCAATGGTACGGAGTAAATGACAATATGCAGAAATTGTACAGGCGGAAAAAGCCCGAACGAGCACCGAGCGTAAGTCTATAGAATAAAGCCAGGCTAACAGATGTACCAAGAGATCATAAATATAACACCAAGCCAAGCAGTCCCGAGAAGTACCCAGGAATACGCCGCCGGCTAAGGTGGAGTCGGGGTTTGGCGTATTTCGGGTTGATCCCGTGGCTTCTCGCGCGTTCGCATGTACATCCCTTCGGAGGGAGCCTCCGCGTCTATCGACCGGGGAATCGCCGGTTGAGAGAGCTGCTGCTGTTGTTGGGCGACGATTTCTCGCGCATAAAACTCCACAAGCATAGTCCCGTATGCTTCCAGCTCCTCCACCGCGATCGACAATCGAAAGTCGTTTAACAGTAAGAATTGAAGTTCCAGGTGGTTGAGTTCAACCAGCGGAAGTCCGCCAACCTAGTACATCATTAGTGGCGATTAAGACAACGAGGCGGAGACATACCTTGGCATATCGAGAATTAGTGTAAAAAACGTCCGAGAAGAATTTACTGGCACAGGTTACGCCTGCGATAACGAGCCGGTGAATGTTGAAACTATCGACAACAAAAAAGTGCGAGAATTGATCCTCTTCCTCTTGTGGTTGTAGAGAGGGCGACATCGACGCCGGAGTGGATGGGTCCTGGGCAGTGATTCCTGCCGAGGAGGGAGGGGTTACCAGGGGCGACGCGTGTGTCGGATGTGTACTCGACCGCTCCGATGATGCTGGGCGCGAACCATCCTGCACGTGGTCCCAGCGACGCCGCAATCGGTCCAGCTGGCCCTTATTGACCAGCTCCGTCATCCGATCAAAGTACACCAACAGACTGAGAAAGACCTCGTAAGTCGTGGGACAATACTTATGAATCCTCGTCAAATAGCTGAGGATACTAATGCTGGGCACGTTCTTGCCATGAAACGCAAGCACACTGGTTGCTTGCGGACTCAGGGTGGTGGTGCCATCCGGGGGAGGAATATGTCGATGAACCGACTCGTGATGCATGTCATTGGTGGTCGTGATTTTCATCAGGAGCCCAGCAACCATCTCGATTATGTCCGTGACCGGCATGGAACTAATCTCGTACTGGCGCTCCTGGGTCCACTGCCCCGGGGTGCGATCCCTCTGCGCGAGGAACTCTTCACTAGCAAAGCTTTGGATATGTGACAGATCTCGGACCTTGATCCGACTAGGGGAGCTGGCCTCAGATCCGCCCAGCGAACGGAGCGACTGGAAGGTTGGTCTCAGCTGAGGAGAAACGGGAGAGGACTGACTCCCCGTGTGTGGCGCCGAGGTAGGTGCATGGCCACCGAGGTGATGAGATGGATGCGCGGCGGGGTGCGAGGCAGACTCTGGGCGCGATAGATAATTAGTGGTTGAGGTCATTGAGGCTGAAGGAGGGTGAGTATCGGTTGAGCCCGGAGTGGCGGAGGAGGCTCGCGTGGACGGTTGGGAACTGGGATGGGAGTGAGAGGGCCGGTTGATGTAGGCCGGTACATCATGGGTTGGGTGGGAGGGAAGGCGACCAGAGCCGGCGGCGGAGGTTGACGGCGGGGCTGTGGATGAGGTGGGGGTGTTATTGGAAGAGGCCGATCTGGAGCTGCCGGTCTCCAGATGTGACGAAGGCTGATGCGAGGCCGGATGAGACGACGATCGATAGACTGATTCCGACGAAGTGATGGTGCCTCCCAACATGGTGTAGGAGGTTTCCATATAATCCGACCGCGGATGATTCACGACGACCGATCCCATATCAGAGCCGATGCGTTGGAAGGGCGATGCGGGTGAATTCTGATGGAGCCGGCGGCCGAAGGTCAGCGCGATACTGGCAGACTAGTGAGGGGAGGCAAAACCGCGAAACAGCAATACAAGGGAAGGATTAATAGCACATGGTGGAGGAGAAGGAAGAGATACCGCCAAGTAATCAAGTTCAGTCAATGGTCCAAGGACGGTCTGGATCTCTGCCAGATGGCGGCTGGAGGGTCAAAGAGCACTGAGGGGAAGTGCAAAAGAAGAGCAGGGCGTAGTGCACGAACCCGACCCAGGCCTGAAGCGGAGGAATCAAAAGTGATGGACGGCAATGGGATGGTCCATTGCGATGAATCAGGGAGGGGAATCCGGGGAGATATGGGGGGAAGGATAGGAGATAGGGACGGAATAATCAGGTTATGGAAACTGGCCGGAGGATAAGGGATGGATGGGATGGATGGGATGAGATGGGGTTAGGGTGGCGGAGATGATGGGAGGGAATGAATGGATGGATGGATGGATGGATGATGCACCCAGGGAACAAGACTCGAGGTCCGGCAAGGTTGGGGCCCACCCCGGGCATTCCCTTGCCAGCCCTCTCAACTCTCGGTGTTTCAGCACCTCCACCCCCAATTGATGGATCAAAAAGATCCCGATTAAGGGAACACCAATGACAAAAAAAGACGAAGATCCATCTAGATCTGGTTCCTACGGGGACGAGACAGGGAACAATGCGACCTGACGATGATATGATACCATAAGATGATGCATCACTTGTCGACTGCCTACTGTCTACGGCTAGGCTCCCATCAGGACCGGTCCATACAGCCTGCCCCGATGGATCCTTACTGTGCTTACTATACTGTGTAGTAAGAGGTTCCTTGCAGCGATATCAGCACAACACCTTACCGATCGCGCCATGCCGTCCGTCATGAGATGGAGTAATCGCAATAACAACAGCAACTGCCACGCTGAGAATCGACTTATCTCATGGCGAGGATATGGGATATGGGAATAAGGCGAGCCAGTCCCAAACCAGATGGTCGCAGCCAGGATCATCCTCCGCTTGGGCGCAATGGGCGAATGGCGGCTCCTCGGCCGCGCAGGTGTTCAGCATCGCCGGTTGATTGGTGGCGGCGCCAGATGCACTCGAGACGATGGCAGCCGTCATTGACTCCAACGGCACCATCTGGTGTCCCCCTAATTAAGCTATCACCCTTAGACTACTGGGTCAGCAGCGGGGGAACGAACTAGTATCTTAGTCTTATTACCTGCGATCAGGAAGGTGGTGCCATGCCCGCGTGGGATACGGCGGACGGAGTACACGGCGTAGTTTTAGCCGGAGATGTCCCGGATGACCCCAGCTATCGAGATGCATGGTGCGCCTCAACAATACATTGAACGGTACGGAGTACTCCGTACATTCAAGTCATACCGCCGGCCAGACAAAGTATAAAGATAAAAGGGGCTTGAAACAGCCCTATCAATCACCCGAATGATCACACGCCCTGTCCACCGGTGAAGATGGTCTCCCACGCACCGGACTGTTACAATCGGAAAAACGACATCTACTCGAACCGAAGAATCAATAGATCATCAACAGCTAACTCAAATCATCGTCCCGTATAGATACATTCGTTAATTGGTAACGCCCGGTCCGGTGTAGCCATTGTCCGGCAGGTAGAGGTGCCGCTGGGCGCCCTGGGACGTCAGCACCACCAGTCGGATTACACCACCAGAGCTGCCATCCCACTTGATTGCTTCTTGCAGCGCTCCGCGAACGAAATCGATGCCTTCTTGCTCCGTCATGTCCTCCTTCCAGTGCTTGTCACAGTAGCCATAGATATAGGTCGATCCGGACCCGCCAATCGAGTACGGTTGTTTGTGGAGGGACCCGCCCAAAGGTATCGAATACACCTGACCTCCGTGCTTCGGATCATATCCGGCAATGATGATACCGGCACTGCGGTCGATTAGTCACGACAGTGATCCAGTTCCGGCCGGAGTGCCTACCTTAGCATATCCTTGTTCTCGTAACATAGCTCCTGGAATAGTGCCGCAGCGACTTGGGTACTCGGAGCTTCATTGTTGACGATCGAATACATGTTAAGATGGTAGGACACGATATCTGCCACAGCCTGGGTGTCCGCCGCAGACCCCGATCGGCAGCACCAGATCGTGTCATGCACCTGCGTCAATTTGTCGGTAACTCGGTTGGCGATGTATGCTCCGGTTGTCGTTCGGCTGTCCGCGCCCAATATAACACCTCCGTTGAAGTTGATAGCCATACTGTTCTCGTCAACTCATCGGACTATAGATTCGAAGTCGACACAACTCACATCGAGGTTCCTAGGCTGTATAGATGTTAGCCATCTTCACTGGTCAGGTTGAGCACACAGTTCCGCACATACTTCACTTCTCCCTTCTTGAGGTGGTTCATATCAACATGGATACCATCTGACATAGCAATTAGTGTCTGTCATCGCAGTTGCAGCACGAGACCACTAACCCTCGCCGAGCATCCCCGTCATACCGTGGCCAACCATGGTGTCGTTGAAATTATTGAAATAAAGCGGCTGTATATAATTCCGACGGATGAAAAGGTAGTGCACCGAAGCAGCGAGATGATAAGTTAATGGGGTGATGGAACAACGTGTGCGGCGTTCTGGGACGGAAGTGGTTATGAGCTCTGACGGAGCTCAAGGCAGGCGAACGCGTTACGTTGGCAGCTGGAGCTGATTCCGCCGGGCGGTGAGCACCGCCACGTTCCTACTGGGCGGATTGTCTTCCCCCGCAAGCCTCCTGAACGACTTCCCCCAGCCATAGAAAGTCGCCCCGATGAAACGAACCGACGCATTATCTCCCGCTCCTAGGCTGCAGGGTATCTCGCCGGATCGCGACCCTCATCACTGGAGAATCCCATTTTCAACACCCCTCAGCTGATCTGTTCCACAATTTGAGCAATTCCGCCAGCTTCAAGTCGCAACACTCTTTATCGTCGAGCTACCCTGTCACCAGCCTGTCTACAGCTATGTCGGAGTCGCCGCCCCCACCGTCATGGAGCATTGCCAGCATGGCCAACAGTGCCGTCCAGTTTCTGCGATTACCCGTCCTGGCATCTTCCGGCTTAGCGGTGGTCGCCAGCGGACTTCTGTATTTCAAGCAAAAGTTCGTCTTACCCAGACCCCGGTCAACAAGGGTATCAGTGGCGCTGCCCAGGAACTAACCCCTGATGTAGTGAGCTCATTTATCCTCGCAATGTCCCCGTCGATGCACGCACCAATGTTCCGAAACCACAACAGTTTGGCCTCACAGACTACGAAGATCTCCAAATCCCCACTCCAGACGGAGAGTCGTTACATGGCCTGTTCATCCGTCCTAAGCGCAAGCGCACAGCCGAAGATGTTACCGTGTTGATGTTTCATGGAAATGCCGGCAACATCGGCCACCGGATTCCCATCGCAAAGGTCCTACAAGATATTCTCGGTTGCAACGTGTTGATGCTGGAATACCGTGGGTATGGTCTGTCCACGGGAACGCCGGATGAGGCGGGCTTGAAAGTCGATGCGCAAACCGGGCTGGATTATATCCGACAGCGGGCGGAAACCAAAGACAGCAAGATTGTGGTGTATGGTCAGAGCTTGGGCGGCGCGGTAGCCATTAATCTGGTCGCCAGCAACCAAGAGAATGGTGCGATCGCAGGTCTAATCCTGGAGAACACATTCTTGAGTATCCGCAAACTGATCCCAACGTATGTCATGATTGCTTGCAAGTATGTGCTCCTAGAAGACCAACCAGCTGACTGCCATAGGGTTTTCCCTCCTGCTCGTTATCTTGCTCGCTTTTGCCATCAGTACTGGACCAGCGAGGATGTTCTGCCTAAGATCACGCAGGTGCCTATTTTGTTCTTGAGTGGGTTAAGAGATGAGATCGTCCCGTAAGAGCCCTTTGAAGAGTGTACAAGCTGTACATTACTGACATGCTGTGACAGTCCATCCAACATGACTCAGCTTTTCGCTGTCTGCGCTTCCGAACGAAAGATTTGGCGTACGCTTCCCAATGGCGGCCACAATGACAGTGTTGCCGAACCGGGCTACTTTGAACATATCCACTCCTTCGTGATGGAGGAAGTCCTTGCGAAGGGCCAATGAGTCGCCCACTTTAGATGGCTTTCAGCAGTTCTGCCACATTTATCAACTGGTGACTGCAAAATATCTTACGGTCGCTTTGATGATAACGATGGCTTGCTGCGTTCCTTCGCAAAATGTCGACGAATTATGACTATCTTGACCAGTTTGCGCCTTTACAGTCGTCCATCGTTACTCATTTGCAGGGGTCAGAACGAGATTCACCTAATAACTTCCCAAGGCTTGACTTCATGACTGTGTGAAGCTGCGCTCTTCTTTTTTCACCTTTGCTAGTATTTACGTTCTGCTACCCTACTTTTGTTCGCTTGGTCCCTGAGACCTCCTAATTCCGAAGCATTGATTCTGTCTCTGTATCGATACCTTTCATGCTTCGACAACCTTTTTTTCCCCTGTCTCTTGTTATTGCTCTCTGGAGTTTATGCCATATCGTTGCCATGATATCTGATGCTCTAGGCGTTCCTGTTCTGACACTATCTACATTGTTTCCTTTCAGACGGTGTTGGCTTGGGTTTCATTTGGCTGTACTGACTGGATGCGCTCATGCATTTATGATGAAGATCTAAGCGTTGTACCTAGATTCAGGAAGACCTGGCCGTCAATGTCATCCTTGTCGAGTGATTGTTTGTAAAACATGCATAATGTGCATTACTGACTCATCAGTCAGTGGCGCCGGATGTAGCTGCATAAGTGACGGCCCCACGTGGATAATCGCCGAGAACGTCGCTGGCACTCCGCCGAATCTCACGCCATGCAGAGTTCAATAGTCATTCAACCCGCTCGGTGCTGGCAACCCCGGCTCCCTAATCCTCTCTTTCCGTCGACTCGCTTCCGTTACTTCGCTGTATCTATTCCATTTGTTTCAGATCCTTTCACCGGTCGTTCCTTCGCTCGTTGAACCTGGACACGAGTCCCCTAATCCTCGTACCAACATACCCTAGACGGGCCACTTGGCGATCAGCCCGCGATTGACGGCATTGATTCGCGATATCCCTGAAACCCACCACTTCGTACCCACCATGGCGAACCGCCAGATCACTCGGCGCATTCTCATCAGCGCCGCCATCTCCATTTTCCTGCTATTCGTTTTCTTTATCCGACCTGAAGGACCCCCTAGTCCCGCGATCCGTGCCCCCGGTCACCTGGAGAAGTCTGCGCAGGCCGTGGTCTCTAAAGATGATCTCACCAAGGGGGAGATTGTAATGCCCCGGCTGGGGAATGCAACCGCAAAGTACGCTAAAGTCTAACTCAGTTCTTGAACTATGCTGACTTGGGATGCCAATCGCAGAGCGGAATTAGGTCGTGCAACGTGGAAGTACTTCCACACCATGCTTGCCCGGTACCCCGAAGACCCGACGGAGGAGCAGCAGGAAACTCTTCGCTCCTTCATCTACCTTTTCGCGCGACTTTACCCTTGGTACCTACCCCGTCGCTACTTCACACCCGTCGCGATGACTGACTCGGACTAGTGGAGAGTGCGCCTCTCACTTCCAGGGCCATCTGAAATCGTACCCGCCGCAGGTTTCGTCACGCAACGCAGCTGCAGGATGGGGCTGCTTCATTCACAACGAGGTTAACACCATGCTTGATAAGCCTATTTTCGACTGTAATAACATTGGTGACTTTTACGACTGCGGTTGTGCCGAGGATGAGGAAGGCGAAGACGGCGAAACCACCAAGGGCAAGAAGGGTCAGACGACTCGGGATGAGATTGATAGCGATGATGCAATCTCTCCCGTCGAGATATCCAGGGAACCGTTAGTACTGCCTTGCACCACACTACATGAAGGAGATATACTGATCAGACGATTAGCACCACGCGGGGTTAACAGAACCATCGAGCTTCAGGTTCCCATGCACCAGTTGCATTGGTCCAGTACATTCGTCCCCGTACTTTTGCTTTATACTTCACCAGCGCAGGATCGCTGAGTGCATGGCCGGGATCAATATTTTAGCGTATGCTTCACTACAGTCACACTCCTTCAAGTTCTGCGTACATCATACAGACTTCGTATTCCGCATGTGAATCTCCTGATCTGTAACCTACGGACATTCCGGAGGAGGCCACTTCTTCCGCGCAGAAACATGCAGAAGAGTAACAGGAATCTGCAGTCGCACAGATGTAGGAGCAGGTTTCAAAAGTCCCAACCGGTTGCGAGTGATGGCCAGGCGGTCGGTAAGGTTGCGAAGGTATGCAATGTCGAGCGCATGACTACCGTGACGCATCTGACTGGCGCGGCTGACCAAGTCTAAAGTGGCGTGTTGCTGAACATAACAAGGAAGGATTAATTGCTCGCGACCGCCACCAAACCTCGACTGCTGTGCCGTCTGCAACATACGGAGTAAGCCTGGATGCGCCAGCGCAAGGCTGAAACTCGTCTTCAAATAGATGAAACATGAACAGCTTTGGATGCTCGATCCTCGATTCGCGCGCGGCCCGGGCCACCAAATAGAGCGTTAGCCAGCGCCATCCATGACCGAGCCGGGATGTCAGCCAGGGTGTCTCGCTTGGAAAGTTTAATCCAGTAGACTGACGATCTCCCCTCACCGACCCTATGGGAGCGGGAGTTATAATTGTCCCTCGCTGGTGAAGGCTTCGTATCGGAGCTTCTTGTCATGCGTAGGATCGTATCGCCCTCCTACCCAGACGCTACACTAACCGAGCAGTTGAAGGCGGGTGAAGCTGGTTGGTGACTGGCTGAAGCTGCGTTCTTGCTGCACAGCGTCGGGTCTCCTGATGAGTCCGTGCTGATGTTCGAATGCGCAAGCGCTACACCTTGGCTTTTCTATCCACGGTCATCGCACCAGCCATGGCATGGGGATCCTGGACCTGGTTGAGTGTCCGTTTCAAGTCTGAGTAGTCATGCCAATGTCATCGCATGAAGGCATATTAAAAGATGCAAGGTCCAGAGAACACTGTGGGTGCTGTTTTCAGTGTCATCGTTCCCAGGAGAACTAAATTGATCCTCTGCAGGTGAGGGCAGTGAATTGAAGGCTGGAGACTCGCGATTGCGGGGTGGATGGGTGGGTGCCTGATCTCTCAGGAACTAAATCCTTCTGGACCCAAGGTTTGTTAGTCTCGGAAGGGATAAGCGCCACCCAAACTTGACTGGAAACTTTTTTTTTCTTTAAATGTTTTGAGGCGGCCAAAAGAAAACAGCAAACTAAAATAACAGGCAAAGCAGGGGGAACTTTTCTGTAAGCGCCGAGTGCCTGGGATCTGGAGCTGATTTATTTATTTCGCCTGGTTGCTTATTCTGCTGGGGCTGTCCAACCATCCCTCGTATTTGTTTACCATCACCACCGCCGCCATCTTCTGGATTGGATTGGACTTTTCGGCGCGCAAGGATCCATTCGTCGCCAGAACCCCATCGCTTGGTCGATTAATTCCCCGACAGGTTCACGGCGGGTCCAACGAACTAGCGCCGTCCTCCGTCGCCTGCTTTTCGTCTTTTTCTTGATTTTCTACTTTGAGTTCGCATTATATTACTGGGGCAGTCCCAAGTCGCAACCACTCGAATCGATACGCGGACTAGATCGCGGGGTCATTCATCATGGTTTCCTTCTCCTGCGAGGTGAGTTGTTTATTTTCTCGCTTGTCACGAGCTGTTCTCAATGCGGCATCGGGTCGACGGTGAATGCTAACTCGTTGCCTCGGGTTTCTAGGCTTGCGGTGATGTTCTCACCAAGAAGAAGCTTGATCCGCATCGCAACCAGTGTCGCGGCGCCTCCTACACCTGCATCGATTGTATGGTGCACTTTTACGGAACGGAATACCGCGCGCATACGGTACGCTTTCTTCCTCGAATCATACTGTTTCCGACGGGACGGAACTCTTTGCGTTGCTGCTTGTCTGATTGGTGACGATAAGACATCTGCTGTCGGAATACAGTACTACGGGCTATTAGGGTTGACTGACTCCTCTTAGTCGTGCATGTCCGAGGCGCAAAAATACCAGGGCGCGCTCTACAGAGAGAAACCTACCAAGAACCAGCGCAAGCAGCAGAACAATGGCCGACAGAACCAGAACCAGAACCAGAAGCAAAACGGCCATGGTCACCGGGCACCCTACGTCGAAGATGCGAATGACACCGATAACCCGCCGACTGCTCCCACGCCCCCAGTGGCGGGTGCCGACAAGACTCCGGCTCAGAACGGCGACAAGCAAGTCAATGTCTTCGATTACCTGGTCGCGGAGAACACCCCGAATCCATCCAAGGTCTCTCTTGGCGGGTCCAAAGAGCAGATGAAGATGGTCGACAACGCCCCGTCTGTGTTCGAGCCCAGCAAATCACTGACTCGCGCCGACACGGATGCTGAAGAGAACAAGGCTTATGATGTTGCGTACGAGGAGAACGGCTACTCCTACGGGACTGGACCCATCAACCAGTCGGTGTATGAGGGCAAGGCGCCGAATGTCTCGGAGGAGTTCATGACCCCTGCGCCGAAGAAGAAGAAGGACCGCTCGGCCAAGGCTACCACCACCAGCGAGAAGAAGCGCAAGCGTCGCACCGAAGACCACGACATGGAGGATGCCGACACCCCGATGCTGGATGCGCCGTCCAGTGTTGTGAACCACCCGGGCACCCCTATGCTTCATTCTGGCCTGACCGGAGGGTTGGACCGGATGCTCCGCTCGCCGTCGGCGGATGGCGAGGACCACCCCCGCCGGCGTTACCAGGACCCATCGTCGCCTATCAAGCGTACCCGTCGGGACGCCAAGGACAGCAACGGCGACGCAGGCCTCGGTATTTCGATGAAGAACCGGGCTGAGCGTCTGGTCTCGTCGATGTTCGGCGGCTCCTCCGTATCTGGAAGCAGTGTCAACAGCCGTGAACCCTCGGCCAAGGCTGCTCGGCGTGGCTCAGACAATGGCGAGGCAGAGGGTCGTCGCTCGAAGAAACTGCCCAAGGTCCGCGGCGCCGAATCCGATGCGAAGAGTAAGCGTAAGAGCAGCGCTCAGACGGATGGGGATCGGCCATCCCGTCGCGTCAAGCAGATCGAGTACTCCGACTCGCGTCAAGGCGATGACGGCCGGGAGGTGGTCGTCTACCAGCAAAGCAGCGTCCCTGATGGCTTGCAGCGACAGATGGCCGCTCACTTCCTGTCGCTGGTGAGCAAGGGGCCGGAGAGCACACGGGGATTTTCAGTGAACAAGGTTCTGAAGCGCTTCCACCGTGACTTTACGGACGAATTTGACGACGACCGTGGACGGGATCAGGGTCGCGGTCGGGCGGACCGAGAACGGCGCATGGATGATGAGAAGGAATTGTGGCGGACGTTGCGGGTGAAGCAGAATGACCGGGGCGAGGTGGTGCTTTTCTTTTGATACACTTGATTCTTGCAAGTTTCTGCAAGTTTCTGCAAATTCCTAGTGCATAGCGATAGTGGTGGATAGTCCTGATTCCTCCGATTTGTATATTGGATGTTATATTTTCAGATTATTTCTTGACATTATTGACTCAATATTCATCTGCATCCAGATCTACCTATACCACATATCACACACTACATAGTAATAGTATGTACGGAGTAATATGGTATGAAATGACGTCCCACTCTGAGTAATTCACAATTCAAATGACTCCCCGCCAGCCCCAATCCACCATGACTCATAATGATAAGTCCCAAGGCACCAGTCACCATGCATTGTTCGGCTTATTCCCGGCCTCTACCTCCGCCACGGCCACATCCTTCGGAGGCGAAGACCGCCGCCACCCGACCCAAGCATTGAGCTTCAGGAACAAACCCCTCCCTTCCACTTCCATCATTTTCTTCCGACGGTACTTATTATTGCCTCAGACCCCAGGCATCTGCCTGTCTCTTTTACCTTCTTCTTCTTCATCTATCTTCACGTCGCGTTCGGTCTCTGATTGGGAGAGTTCAGTCAAGCTTTCACTCACGCTCGTTCTTTTTTTCCATTTTCACTTTTCGGGATCGGCTAGCTAGATACTACTATCATCTAGTGCATGACCGCCCTTCCTCCACAGCACCTTTCGAATCCACTTCCAAGGACCTTGGAGACAATGTCCGCGTCTACTTCAGCGCCTCCGCCCGCCGCTGAGGGAAATACCCCGCGATCGAGACCCAGACCGAGACGCGGAGGGAGAGGTCGTGGGGCGCGTGGTTCGAATCGACAGACGAGTACCTCTCAGGTTCAGACTCAGGATCAGACGCAATCGCAGACAGACGCACAACTACAACCACAACCACAGCCAGGAACGCAACACCCCGCTGATTCCGCGACATCACAAATACGAGATGAGCCGCGGCCGCCGCGAGGTCCGAGAGGGAGACGGGGTAGAGGGGCGAGTGCACAGTCGGGTTTGAATGCGAATGGGAGTGGGAGTCGACGGCAGGGACAGGGCCGAGCTCGCGGTGGCGATCAGGCTACGCTTCCTGCTGGACGGAAGTTTGGAGGGAGGTTGACGAGGCCTGAGCAGGAGCAGTCTACGCAGCAGGGACAGACGATACTGGGTGGTGTGGATGGGGATGTGGACGAGGCAGGGTTACGGGCGGATGCGCCGGTGTTTATTCCTGGTGGTGGGCAGCCTGGGGAAGAAGTTCCCAAGGGTGTATCTACTGCTGGGTCTGGGAAGGGAAAGGCGAAAGCGAAGAATCAACCTCGAGCGCCGCCGCAGCCGAAAGTCACGACGAAATCGACAGCCCCAGATATCGCGACGCGGATTCATGAGGATATTGCGCATAATCTGTACGAGTGTCCGATTTGTACGAGCGAGCTGGGGAAGAGGTCGCGGGTGTGGTCGTGTGGACTGTGTTGGACGGTGTTTCATCTCAGCTGTGTGAAGAAGTGGTCGAGGAATGAGGGGGCCGCGGCTCAGGACGCGGCGCGGCGACAGGAGGAGGGTGAGAACAGTGCTCCTCGCGCGTGGCGCTGTCCGGGGTGTAATCTGCCTCAAGAGGTGTTTCCGTCGTCTTATACGTGTTGGTGTGAGAAGGAGGTCGATCCGCGGTCGTTTCCTGGTCTTCCGCCGCATTCGTGTGGACAGACGTGCTCGCGCACGCGCAAAGGATGTCCTCATCCGTGTGATGCCACTTGTCATGCTGGGCCGTGTGCGCCCTGTACGGCCATGGGCCCGACGCAGGATTGCTTCTGCGGTCAGAATTCGTCGACTAAGCGCTGCCAGGATACCGATTATGAGAATGGGTGGAGCTGTGGGGAGATCTGCGGTGACCTTTTGCCTTGCGGAGAGCATACTTGTCCCCGGCCGTGTCATGAAGGACTCTGTGGCTCTTGCGAGGTGAGGATTGAGGCGCGCTGCTACTGTGGAAAGGTGGAATCGGAGATGCTGTGTAGTTCGAAGGATGAAGAGTTGGATAGCGAAATGATGCACGAGGGTGAGGTTGAGGAGTGGGTTGGGTGCTTCAGCTGTGGAGATCAGTGCAATCGCCCCTTCGACTGTGGAATTCACTCCTGTCAGAAGAGCTGTCACGCCCAAGATGCACATCCGGCTCATTGCCCGCGGTCTCCAGATGTGGTGCTTGACTGTCCCTGCGGAAAGACGCCGTTGGTCAAGATCCCGGGATATTCGCCTCGCACGTCTTGTGAAGACCCGGTCCCGAATTGCTCCAAACCCTGTGGCAAATCGCTGCAGTGTGCGCATCCGTGCCAGAAGATCTGCCACACGGGGCCCTGCGGTCCTTGTTCGCAGAGCGTTCCCATCGAATGCCGTTGCGGACGCAACACGTTCATGACTATTTGCCCTCAAGGGGATATGGAGCCGCCTCGGTGTTTCCGCATGTGCAAGGCCGGCTTGCACTGCGGTCGTCATGCGTGCACTGAGCGATGCTGCCCTGGCGAACAAAAGGCAATTGAGCGCCAGGCTATCCGCCGAAAGCTCAAATCTCATCTTCGTCCCAGCGATGAGGACTTTGAAGCCGAACATATCTGTACCCGGATCTGTGGCCGGATGCTGAAATGCGGACGGCACACATGCCCGGAGATCTGTCATAAAGGGCCCTGCAACACCTGCAGAGAGGCAATCTTCGAGGAGATCCCGTGTAACTGCGGTCGATCTATCTTGCACCCGCCTCTGCCCTGCGGGACGCAGCCCCCGGCATGCTCGTTTCCCTGCGAGCGTCCGAAGCCGTGCGGCCATCCTCAGACGCCTCATAATTGTCACACGGACGACGAAAGCTGCCCTAAATGTCCATACCTCACGGAAAAGACGTGCCAATGCGGCAAACGAGTTCTGAAGAATCAGCCCTGCTGGTTAGCAGACGCACGATGCGGGCAGGTGTGCGGCCAGCTGCTCAAATGTGGCTCCCACACCTGCCAGAAGGACTGCCATCGCCCGGGCGATTGCGAGGATGCCACCAAGCCTTGTCAGCAGGCGTGTGGAAAGACGAAGACCATGTGCAGTCACCCTTGCACTGACCCATGCCATGCGCCCTATCCATGCCCGGAGAAGACGCCCTGCACGTCCATGATCACGGTAACATGTGGCTGTGGACGGCTTCGCCAGGAACGCCGCTGCAATGCAGCAAAGGCGGTTGTCTCCAAGGGCCAACTGCAGCAGGCGCAGCGTGGACCAGCCGTTACGCCGCTGACCTGCGATGACGAGTGCGCCCGTCTTGAACGGAACCGTTCGCTGGCCTCGGCCCTCGGCGTCGAGATTAACCCGTCGACGACGGTCTCGCAGACCCTCACCTCCACCAACCTTCCGTACTCTGCCGAAACCCTCGACATCTACATTCAACTCTCCTCCTCTTTTCCCTTGTCGACCCTGCAAACCTACGAGTCCACCCTCCACTCCCTTGCCGTTAGCACAACCGAGCGCTCCACACGTTTCCAGCCCGCCAAATCGTCGCTTCGCGCCTTTGCTCACAGTCTCGCCGCCGACTGGGGCTTCTCCAGCGAAAGCTTCGATCCGGAGCCGCATCGCCATGTTTTCGTTCTAAAGCCCACCCTCTGGACCCCACCGATATTCGGCATGGGCAACGGCACAGCCATTGGCATTGGCGGCATGAGCGTGGGCGACTGCGTCAAGCTTCGTGAACGACAGCGTCTGAAAGAGCAAGAAGCCCAACGCATCGCAGCCGCCGAAGCCAAAGCCCAACGGGACGCCGCGCGCGCAAACAACAACGGTTCCGGCGAAGGCGGCTGGGCACAGGTTGCCGCGTCGAAGAGAAGTAACCCTGCCCTCGGGGGGACGAGAAGCACACCGATTTCCCGGGTTGCTACCCCTGCTTCACCCTGGTCCTCGTCTATCTATGCTGCCCTGGCTACCGACGAGGGCAGTGCATCTGCCTCTACTTTGCAGCCGAAAAAGGAGAAATTGGTCCTTCGGTCGGGAGTGAAGCAGTTGCGGAGTCAGGGGGCTTCTCCGGCTGCAGTGGACAATGAGGGTGGTTCTGTGGAGGTGATGTCTAGCGATGTCTAGCATGCATTTCATTCTCATTATGACATTACTCCTCCCCTTTTGCTGTTGAATTCCATTTTTATAGTGGTTGTGGTTACTGTCCAGTTAGCGTGCATCATAGCTGGCTTTGTATTGGGCTCGTGTTCATAGAGAAAAGTTGCTTGACGGGGTAATTATCGATGAATATGATGAGTGCTGTAATAGACTTCTAGTATGGTAATCACACATTACTTAACTACGACCTGGTATCCTATCCGAAGCACTCAACTAGACCAGAAGAGAAGCCAATCTGCAGACCACAGGAATAACGGGAATGGTACAATGAAACCCGCCTTACGCTACTATTTCCTCTCCCTTACCCCATTGTCCCGCCATCATGTCGTGTATTACACAGAAACTATCTATCTTAAAATTAGATCCTCATAACGTAACGTCTAACTATATCCTTCCCTCTACGCTTTTGTCCTAAATTAACTACAAATTCCTGCTACACAAGCCTACAATCATGACTACTATTCGCTTAATATTCGTATATAGCAGTATTTAAAGCATTACTAGTTAAAAAGTCAATGTTGGGATGGATATTTGTTGTGATTTAATACTCGAAAAATGGGTCTATAGGTATACCCATCATGGAATACAGTTGATGATGATTCTGGATGGGCTTTCGGAGAACGCACGGGTCACTTTTTAGTATAGTTCTAGTCGAGATGTCTACATTTTATGGTGATTCACGGTACTAGATATTTTTGAGATATGTATTTTCAAAAGAGGAAGTCAATTATTCTTATAGATAATATCTCGATCCATCACTGACAGGGTAGGTGCTCATGAAAGAGAGTTACGAAATGGATATATCTGTTCCCATAGTCGCCAGATTGGAATTCTGTTAAGAGTTCGATTCATTCGACAATATTGGTGGATGTATGAGAATAATCGCGACCAGTTTTGCTTCCTTTTGAATGGTGGGTGGACCAGTTCGGTGCCAAAGAGCAGTGCTAGAGGACATGGCAGGCCGCAGGTAGAGAGCTATGGCGGTTTTATGTAGCGAATTCACCTATATCAAAGATTGTTCTTGGTTTAGCACGGGTTTTGTTATAGTGCATATCATATATATGCATATATATAAGATAGCAACGAACGAAAGCAAGGGATAAATACGGACAGACTGTTTAACCATCCGTTGAGTCGCAAACTCATCATACAACCTAAGTTTGTTGAACCATCTTCTTTAACATCCATCTCCTGCATGTCGCGGAGGACTTTATCGATATATTTACCTGCCCCGCTGAGTTTAATAATATGTGCAATGGCACAGTGCACACGGAGAAGTCTGGGGTCTGGTGGATCGATTGTTAAGTTAGGACTAAGGCTCAGCGTACGAGTGACGGGGAAGAGCGGATCCCGCAGGAAGGGATGATCAAGAGAGTCGATCTTATACTCATGCGGCCTTCCCGTGGGTTCGAAATAAATTCGGAATGCACCAAACTGTCGATGATGCTCAAGTGTTAGAGTAAGAGCATTGATGGATCTATCGATATTCGGTCCATCGAGACGGTGACTGAGCCCAGGATCAAACATATCCAGTATACGAAACACATTCATTTTAGCCTCGCTCTTGGAACGGTTAGAACACAGCAAATGAGTAATTATCAATGATGAACGTACCAGCTGTGACTCTCCCTGCGCCATAGTGGTCAAGCTATGAGGGAGGATGTGCGCAACTTCCAGATACTGGCATCCACCCGGTGATGCATTAATCAGAAGGTTACCGTCGTCGTCTTTACAGTCATCCTTAGCGCTGCGTTTCCTGGCTTCGTCGAAATCAAATTTATGTGATATCACACACCGGTGGTGATCACGCACCAGGCAGGCCTTCCGTAAGATTGAGACACGCTGTCTCGTGCCCACTTGCGTAGGTGTTTGACTCAAGGACAATGGTGTAGGTGTTGCTTGCGGTGTTTTAAGTGAGGAAGCCCTGACTGATTGGCCTTATTAGCAGAGCAGCGGACCAAAGGACAGCGGGTATTCATACGTGGAAGAAGAAAGTCATCGACAATATACTCAGCAAAGTTTTCGAGAGCGTCCTTTATACGCACCAACTTGCTTGGATCCATACTTCGGCCTTCAGCGAAGGACTCAAGGTACGACAGAGCAACAGCCATGTCAGTCTGTCCAGCCTCTGCAGCAGTGTTAAGGCGCTCATAAATATGTAAAAATAAGTATCTAAGAAACGTGTCTTTGGATGTCACTCGTTCAAACATCTCCATAATGAGCTTTGCGGGCTTGTAACCCCTCTGGACACTTTGGCCGAGGCCATATTCCTGGATGAAGAGATGCAGAAGTGCATGGGCCATTTGATTTTGTTGTGGAGTTAAGAGAAAGGCTGGAGAGGATGACTGATGTCGATGCTGGGCCATGATGGTAGATTAGGATAAGGACAAAGTTGCAAGGGGACTGACTGGTTGTTGACGTTGCCATCACATGCGAGGCGAGTCCAGCGTGCTCCGGAATCAGGTTAATCCGCCCTGCCATTCTGATGAACTGATTGATCACTTTCATTGAATGATCTAAGGATGACTCTCATAGTAAGTCCTACCACTGATATTGCCGTGTCTGGCCTAGTCTAGGCCAGTCAGATCATGCTAAATCTAGTCCGGGAATTAGCCAGGTGAGTAAAGTGATATGGAGCATCTACATTCTACATAGGACATACTAGTACGTGGATTCCGATCTCCATAATTTCATCGCCGGCGTTGCTGTGCTTAGCCCGCTCGACACCACCCAATCAAAATCTAAATGGCACCTCTGCCGTTCAGACTCACGCTTGCTCAATACACTTGATTGGGCAGGTATCAGTATGGCCTGGACTGTGGAACACTGGTTGGCGCTGCAACTCACGTGGCTGATTGGCTACATGAGATAAGCTTACTGCACGGCAACTCTAACATACCTTTCCACATCACCACCTCGGTCTATCATGATGCGCTGCCCCAGGACAGTCATTCGAAATTTTCGTCCTTTTTCACCGTCAAGCGCCTCCCGACTGTCGACTTCATTATCACCCCCCCTGCCCATCTTCCGTCCCTGGAAGCCAGAGGCTGGTCTCGCGCGACTGCGTGCCGCCTCTTATACAACCCGAATGTCTCACGATGAAGAACTTCGGCGAGGCGGTCATTTAAAATACAACTGGATTGATGGAGCGGAGTCACTGGAAAAGTACGGTCCAGGGGGCTATCATCCTATTATGATAGGGGATGTGCTTCGTGGGCGATACCGCATTGTTGACAAGCTGGGGTTTGGAGGCTATTCAACCGTGTGGCTAGCCCTGGATACTAGTTCACACCGCTATGTTGCTGTTAAAGTGGGCATAGCCGATTCGTCTCTGCATGAAACCGATATTCTCCGAGCTCTCACCAGCCCAGGACATGATTCTATCCCCACCCCGATAGATGAGTTTGAGCTCAGTGGGCCCAATGGAACATATCAATGCTATACCATGATCCCTGCGCAGTGCAATCTTCGAGAAGCGTCTTTCAGTCGGTTTTTCCCTCTCGAAGTTACGCGCGCACTATCAGGGGGCCTCACCCTGGCTATTGCTTACATTCATTCCCGGGGCTACGTTCACGGAGGTGAGTGATAGCGACGATTGGTGCTCAAGGCTAATCCTGATGGTTTCCTTATCAGACATCCATCTCCGCAACATCCTAGTTAAACTATCCTCGGACTTTGATCACCTGACAATTGAACAGCTATATGAAGAGTATGGTGAGCCTGAGACGGTCTCTATTACACGACGGGATGGAAAGCCGCTTCCATCAAACATTCCACCCAAGGAAGTAATACCACTGAACCTTGGAAAAAATGCAGAAGACTTTATACTATCTGATACACACGTACTTCTCAGTGATTTTGGTGAGGCATATGCCCCCGACCGAGAAATCCGCCGTGGTCAAGACTACCACACACCATTAGCAATGCGACCCCCAGAAGCCCGGTTTGAACCCGAGGCGCCTCTCTCATATGCAGCCGACATCTGGAGCTTGGCCACAGCTATCTGGGAGATTCTTGGCATGCAGGCAATTTTCAGCACGGACTTTGCCTCTGCCGATGAACTGATATCACAACACATCGATGTGCTGGGTCCCTTGCCGTCAAGTTGGTGGATGCGCTGGCAGGAGCGAAGCCGATTTTTTGACCCTGACGGTCACCCCAAAGAGGGCCGCTATATCTGGTCGGGAATTGATTTGGCTTTCGAGGAATGCGTACAGAAGTATCGACGCCAGCGTGAATGTGAGTTTGACCGGGAGGAAGCAACGGCCATTATTGATTTGATGCGTCGCATGTTGGTATTCCGGCCCGAAGAACGGCCCACCATCCAGGAGGTCCTCCAGTCCGAGTGGATGGTGAACTGGGCATTGCCTGAATTAAAACGGAGATAGACGAAGTAAATCGACCCCGATACTCAATGCGCCTGCCTTGTTGGCTCCATGTAGTGGCAACCGTGCGTTGGCTTCTACAGTATACGGACCTGTCGTGCTATCTAAGGCGATCCAGGCCGAAAAGTAAGTGCGGATGGGTGTCGGTGCTAGCTATGCTTCCAGTGTCGGGTATTTCCAGACGGTGTGAGTGAACGCGAAGACCGAAACTATTTACAATGCACAGACGAGTGGCCATACGACATCCCGTCTACCGTGGTAAATGATGGGTATTCATAACCTCGTCCTGATCCCACCTTGCCCCGGGGTGATGAGATTTGACAGCTGGGAACCCGTGCGAAATTCCCGTAGTTCCCCTGCAGGAGGAATCCGATCGGCGTCTCCGATGTGGGGATTCACGCCAAGCAGAGCCATTCGCAGACCCTTTCTGGTGTGGACAGTTAGAGTTTGCATGTCTTACCAGGAGTAAATCTGAGTCTCGTCTGGTTGAATTGTCCTTTCGTCGAGGCTTCTGCGGGATAGAGGGAAGGTTTCAGCATGGTCATTGTCACTTTGCCGCGCGTGGGAGGATCAGCGTTCCCCAAGGGAATTTACCCTTCCGTTGGGTTCAGTCACCAGCTGCGTTCTCGTATGATGAAGATCCTATTAGTCACGGTAATCCGGTAGACTTTGGTTTTTCCATCTGATTTCCATCCAGTTACACACTGGAAAGAGAATTCTAGCACTAAAATACCACCTCACTATGCTATCCAACCACGGTGTACCCGGTGAGACACGGAAATAAAAACTGTAAGCAGAACCAACCATCCGCGAGCTGAACTGTCCCCCACCGACAGGGATTACATCCCGATCGTCCAGCAAATCACACCCCTTCATCCACAGCATTAACTTTCCCAACCGAGTCACCGCCCCGATGATTGGCCCCAATGAGGGAGTTATCTGATCCGTGTGTGATTATCAGATCCGGTCAGACCAGTCAGGATCCCTGAGCAGTGGACAGTGGACACCCACCACCGCAAGGGTCTGGTTTCCCCCATGACCCTTAGGCTACTTTTAAATGGGTCCAGTCCCTGCACCGCGTCTCGTGCGGAAGTGAAAATTATTGTGTTGCACGGGTTGCTGTCATTGGATAAATATCTACGGGGTGCCTGGCAGCCGGGCTGATGTCGTTTCTTTTCCACCTGCGTCTCATATCAGCATTCCTGACTCTGTCCCTTTTTCATCCCTTTCTTGTTAGGGTGAGATTACTTTGGGTCTGCTAGAGGGTTGAATCGCCTACTGGCTTTTTGCTATATATACAGCACTGAGAATAGGATTTCAAGGATACTATGCGCTTCTTCGAAAAGTCTCCTCCGGAGATCACTCCAGAGGTGCACGCTACAGAGTCCTCGACCAAAGAAGTCGCGGTGGAATCCCGCGATGGCCACGGCATCTTTTCCGGGTCCGATCAATCCCGATTAAGCTTGGAAGCGCAAAACGAAAAGGAAGTCGAAGCTCATCCGGATGAAGTGACCAAGGATGCTCAGCTGGGGGTGCAGAAAGTCGAAGCTGCCGCCCTGGTCTGGAGTAAGCAGGCTGTCTATGCGACTTATGCCTGGTGGGTATCCTCCGATGCTATTCAACCATTTCTAACTGGAGCATGCATAGGATCTGGGTGTGTTTCTTCCTGTTGGCCCTGAATTCGTCCATCAGTGGAACGGTGATCAACAAGGCCTACGCCGACTTTATTGCCGCTCCACAGGTCAGCACGGCCAGCATCCTCTACAGTATCATCGGTGGTGTGCTGAAATTACCGATCGCGAAAACCCTCAACATCTGGGGCCGCGCGGAAGGTCTTGTCGTTTGGGTGATTGTCTACACGCTCGGGTTGATCATCCTGGCTGCTTGCGATGGACCGAATTCCTACGCCGCAGGCTATGTGCTCTTCTACGTGGGATACTCGGGGATTTATCTCGTGCTCGACGTGTACATCGCGGATACTTCGGGTCTGCAAAACCGAGCGTTCACATTCGCCTTTGCGAATACCCCTTTCATCTGCACGGCCTTTACGGGTCCGTTGGCGGGACAGTCGTTCCTGAAGGTGGCCACTTGGCGATGGGCCTATGGTGTCTTTGCCATTGTCATGCCCATTGTCTTTGTACCTTTGGTAGTGGTCCTCAAGTACTACCAGAAAAAGGCAGAAAAGGTGGGCCTGTACAAGCGCGAGCCCAGCGGTCGCACCGCCATCCAGTCCATCATCCACTACACTCACGAATTCGACCGTACGTGCCATCCCATTCCCATCCCCTGGCCCCCCCCCACTAACATCCCAGTCATCGGCGCCTGTCTCCTCATGGCCGCCTGGGTCCTGCTCCTCCTCCCCTTCAGCCTCCAACAATACGGCCGCGCCGAATACAAAAGCGCCAAATTCATCGCCATGATCGTCATCGGCTTCTGTCTGCTCTTCGTCTTCGCCGCCTGGGAAAAATGGTTCACGCGCAAACACTTCGTCCGCTACGAACTCCTCCGCCAACGCACCGTCCTCGGCGCCTGCATCATGTCCGCCGTCTCCTACTTCAGCTTCTACTGCTGGGACCTGTACTACTACGACTTCTGCACCGTGGTCTTCAACCTCAGTGTTTCCATGACCGGCTACATGACCCAGATCTACAACGTCGGCTCCTGCTTCTGGGGCGTCATCTTCGGTCTCTGGATCCGATACACCAAACACTTCAAATACACCTGTCTCTGCTTCGGTCTCCCCCTTCTTATCCTGGGCGCTGGCCTGATGGTCCATTTCCGCGGCCAAGCCCACGGCGATATCAACTACGTGATCATGTCGCAGATCTTCATCGCCTTTGGCGGCGGAACCCTCGTCATCGGCGACGATATGGCCGTCATGGCTGCTGCGGACCGCGAAGGCGTCCCCATGATGCTCTCCCTCATTGGCCTATTCTCCAGTCTGGGTGGTGCGATTGGTTACGCCGTCGCGGCAGCAGTGTATAGTAATATCTTCCCGCAGGCACTGGAGACTCATCTCCCGGCGGAGATGAAAGCCAATGCGACGGCCATTTATTTAGGTGGGTATACCGCGCAGAAAGAGTTTCCGGTTGGGTCGGCTACCAGAGATGCGATTAATTATGCCTGGGGGCGGAGTCAGATGTATGGATCCATTGCGGGGACGGCAATTTTGGTCCTGGGGTTTCCGGCGATTGCGGTGTGGAAGAATTATCGGGTTGATCGGAAGCAGAATAAGGGGACGATGATTTGATACCCTCTGGGTGGAATGTGTGTAGGATGAGTATGGGGAGGGTGTTGGGTATGTGGATGGACTTGGGTTGGTTTTATATCCTGTATTAGTATTCACTTGGTTTTGATTTATTCATCTATCGGTGTTCAGTACTCAGTACGGTGTTCTGAGATGAGTGACTCATCCCTGTAAGCTTGTAGTCTTCCGCATGTACTCATAGACCGCACAGAACTATCAGGATACATGTGGGATCCCATTTTGTAATACTATATAAAGTGTATGTTGGTCGTTATGGGTGATGTAGAGGGACATCTGGGAGTTGGTCACTAGTCTTGATGCCATGGTTATAATAAGGGTGCCGGTTGTCCGGAGTATTGTATAAGTCTATGCAATATATTCTGACAGTATTGTGAGGAGTGAAAAGCCTGAACTTGAGGTCAGAAATAGTTGTGAAACAGTTATGAATATTTATATATACTTGCTTACAGTCGCTGATGGTTATTTATAGGTATCAGATAGTTATAAATACTCCTAAGCTTGATCTAACTTGCTGTGTACTATCCTGGGATGACGACTGGCAGTCCGCGGGGCGGGGTGCTAAATTGAGCCTGTGCCTGAGGACCTCCACTAAGCTCGGCAGAATGGCCCGAACCAGAGGCGGCGTACTACGGGGGAGCTATCTTGATGATCCTCGAACCATCCGCCATCCACCATCTCTTGTCTAAGTTCTTGCATGATGCATGAGCTTACCTGTGCGGAGTATGGTAACTTCCCTTTTCCTCTTGCTGGGTGCTGACAATCATTCACACAGGCAGCACAATGGCCATCTGTTGCCCCACCATCAAGCGAGCAAATCTGCAGTTCGCGGTATACGCGGCCGGCCCGCAGCTGGGCCATGCTAGGACCATCCGGGCATGGACCACCGGAATCACCCCGACTAGAACTCTAGCCAGGGGTGGAATCGTCTCGCGTGGTGCTAAAATGACTGGGCTGGGCAATATATCTTTCCTTCTCTCCCTAGTCCCTAGCTTCAATCGTAGAGGCTGAGGAATCGACACAGGATGGGATCACAACAATCGTGGAAATGGCCCGACAAAATCAGATACGCAACCATATCCTCGCAAAAATGGGAAGAAGAACGGCCCGTCTGGACGAGAATCCAGACCCAGTTCTCGCTCCCGTTCAGCAAAACAGCGGTACAGCGCCCGCCTGACGAGGAATGGATCCAGGGTGTCCTGGTTGGAACCTGGACAGCCGGGGGGATTCTGATCCTCAATGTCATCCTGGCGCTCGTTGCCACGGGCATCAGCTACTCCATGACAGCGGACACGCGGAGCTGGATCTCCGCGGAAGTACACAATGGGCATTGTACCCTCTCGAGTCGATGGGCTACTGGGATCCATGTCATCATCAACCTCCTGTCCACCGCTCTCTTGGAAGCGAGCAACTATGCCATGCAGTGTTTGTCGGGGCCCTCTCGGGCCGATGTCGACAAAGCACACCGGAAGCGCCGATGGCTGGATATTGGGGTCATGAGCTTTCGCAACTTCAAAGTCATGACCGTCAAGCGGAAGATCCTGTGGCTGGTTTTGCTCCTGAGTTCAGTCCCCATCCATATGATGTCAGTCAATCTAGCCTTCGTCGTCAGAGAATCCTCTTAACCGCCAGTAGATACAACTCGGTGATTTCTTCATCCATCTCGACGTTCGATTACGGCATGATTTTGATTCCTGACAATCTGTCACCGACCGAGTCCCTGGTCAGCACGGACGAAGCCAGTGCCTTTTATGATGTAGTAGGCAGCACTCCAGAAGTCATTCGGACCGAAATCTTCAATGGCACCTTCCAAAACGTCAGCAATCTCGAGTGTTTGAAAAAGTACGATGTCCAATTCAACACGCACCTGGGCACACTGATTTTCGTGGCCGAGAGGCAGTACTTTGCCAATGACAGCAGCTTGCAAGCCTCGCTGTATTATGGCTCTTCGGTATATGACTACGTTAAGACCGTTGGGAAGAGCCGGGCAGAAGCGGCCATCGACGAGGGTCACTGGATGGCCGCGGGTAAAGCGTGGGACTTCTACGACGACTACAATGAAGACCCCAGCATCCCCATCTCCCACTGCATGCAAAAAACCATGACCCAGCGGTGTAGACTTCTCTTCAGCCCCTCCATCGCTCTCGCCGTGATTCTGTTCAACCTCGCCAAGGTGATATGCATGTATCTGACGGCGAAAACGGACCGCTCCGAGATCTTCTTGCGGGTCGGCGACGCCGTATCCTCATTCCTGGCCAATCCCGATCCCACCACGGAAGGCCGTTGCCTCATGTCTCGGAAAGACATGACCCGGGGACCCTATCGATGGGAGCCCGTTCCCCGTTGGAAGAGCTTCGTCCGGCGCCAAATCCACCGTTACCGCGCAGAAACCCATCCCATGTTAGAGCCAGCCCCCTGCTCTCAAGAGACCGCGCCGAGAAAGTTGCCCACTCGAAAACGATGGTTCCAAGCAGCCACTAAAACCCGCTGGGCCACGGCCTTGATCATGTCAGCTCCCTCGATCCATCGAATTTTCCCCTACTAACCACCATACCAGGTTCTCTCTCTGCATCTTAGTGTCCATTTTCATCGAACTGCTCATTAGCTCCGACGGCTGGTCCCTCGCCGAGCAATGGCGTCTAGGATTCGGCAAAGCCAACTCCAAAACCAACATCGAGTTCCCCATAACCAACATGATCTTCCTCGTTCTGATCAGTAACTCGCCCCAACTCGTCTTCTCCATCCTCTATTTCCTCTGCAACACCCTCCTCTCCTGCATGCTCGTCACCGCCGAATACAACGACTACGCCATCCACCGCAAACCCCTCCGCGTCTCCTGGCCCCAAGGCGAACAACGCTCCACCTACTACCTCTCCCTCCCCTACCGCTACGGCATCCCCTTATTCCTCCTCTCCGTCACCCTCCACTGGCTCCTCTCCGAAAGCTTCTTCTACGTCAACATCACCGCCTACGATATCTTCGGCCACCTCGACCAAGCCGAATCCACCCGCGGATGCGGCTTCTCCCCCTTCGCCATCTTCCTCATCCTCATCCTCGAGGGGGTCGTGTTGTTCACCCTCCTCACCCTCGCCATTCGCCCCTTCAAATCCCCCATGCCCATCGCCGCGCATTGTAGCGCCGCAATCAGCGCCGCGTGTCATCCGCCGTCTGGAGATCGCGACGCGGGCCTGAAGGCCGTGATGTGGGGTGAAGTTGCGTCGAATTCAGCAGACGATGGTCTCTTCCCGGTGGATCTGACAACGAGTCATGACACTGGAACTGAAGCGGAATCGGAAGCTGCCGTTGGACTCGTATCCAAGACTACATATCCTCATTGTACTTTTACTTCCAAGGAGGTGACGATGCCTCGGACGGATCGGTTATATCGGTGATGTTAGATATTCGTATTATGAAGTATTGAAATTATTTTGCGAACAATAAACAAATACACCTAAAAGTGCAATTTCAGGCATTAGATACGCATTACGCTATACCGGATTACAGTAACGAACTATGAATCAGGCAACGGGACTGCCTGCCTGATTGCCTGATTGCCTGGTTTCTTGGTTTCTTGGTTCTCTAGTTCTCTGGTTTTCTGGTTTTCTGATTTCCTGACTACCTGACTGACAACATGACTGAGTGAACAAATAGCAGAATATTGCCTCTAGCTATGACTTTTTCTCTAATGAGCAAGTGGTATGACGATCTAGGAAACATAGTCTATACTATAAACAGAACCGTTTTGAGTGAGTTCGAGTCGGCTCCCCGAGTCAGGATCCAGTCCTGATCTGAGTCCGTTATATTCTCGGTTAGAGGCTAGTGCCTGTGATGTGCTGATTTCCATGCAGGTGGGCCGTATCATTCCGAGATGAGGAGGGAGGGGGCCCAAGTATCCCTATCCAGACGTGGTGTAGAGGAACGTATGTGGAGTGGTTGATGGGATTGATCGATCTGTCTTGAAAGATGGGTGGATAGATACCAGCCGTGTTCCATGGTGGATGGTGAGTTCGGCGAAGATTGACCGGGTGTGGAGGCTTCGCGGTTGGCGTGGGGGTGAGGAAGATGTAGAATCGTCAACGTAGGCTGCATGAAGCAAGCAGGCTTCGCATTGCGTCCCACAGCTATCGGTGCACTTGGCGTTGATATTTATTCTGAGAAACTCAGATCCCCTCCAGAGCTTCGACGGGAGAATCGCTGCCTTCTTCGTATAGAGACCAGTGTCGACATTTCATCAGATTGACTGGGATCATTGTCCCCCCGGCCTGCGAAGGAACGAGCTGCAGTGGTTCGGTGTGGTAATGGGGCGCGCCATGGAGTCCATGTGGAAAGGTCTGGAAGGTGATGTTGTAGACCGGGTGTTCGGTCGTCGTGGCTGCAGTAGGGGTAATGACGAAGTCGTACACCCGGACATGATCCGGCGGGAGCATGTCTTCATTCGGGAGAGTCCCCGGAGGCAGGTTGAAGACGCTTTCCTCGATTTCCATAATCCGAGAGCAGACGGTGTGGTAGTTGGGGGCAGAGAAAACCAACTCTTGCTTCGGTATCCGTCGCAGCAGATCCAGTCCCCGGCGTCGGATGTGCGGCCAGCGGCATTTCCACACGACCGCCTGCAACGGATATAACATCTGACAATCCAGATTCAACGTCCGGGAGATTTTGTCGGGATAGTGCTCCGAGTCGGCGAGCAGGCGCTCGCAAATCTCGATGATATCCTCAAACGCAGCGTGCAAATTATCCCATCCGCACTCCGTCGCAAAGCGGTACCGATCGGTTCCCAACCGGATACAGTACCACAGCAGACGAGTGGCATCGAGTCCGTTTCTCTCTTCTCGGCCCCACGTCGCCTCCTTTCGTCGAACCAGAGCTTCGAACGTGGTCTTCCATCGGTCCGCCCCCTGTCGGACCGAAACCGCCCAGCTCGTAGGGTCGGGGTGCTGAGGCCACGCATGGTTATTCAATTCTTCCCAGTGCTGGAAGGTCCCAATCAAGTATAGGATCAGGTCTAAGAGGCCTAAGCGCGCCTCGGGGAGTGTCGAAAATCTCCGGTTCAACATGAGCTGGCCTCGGTCATCTATGCGGTGGGCAAAGACTTTCTCTCGCGGTGCACGGATTAGGTGCTTGAGCCCGGCATGCTCGTACGTGTTCACAGAGAAGCACAATAAGATCGGAGTCATCTCAACATCCACCCAATGCGCTCGATAACTCCCTGAAGGGCTGTGTCGGTCTCTATGCTGGCGCCAGGTCCGTACCAGGTTGAGACCATTCACGACGTGTGCAGCGGCTGCAGTAGCATTCTGGCGAAGGAATTCGAGCGAAGCGAACAGAATGCTCGCCGTGATGACCAGAGGCACCGCGTCGATGCCTGTTGAGGCCTTGTCGATGGTGGTGCGGATGGCCTGATTGTACAGATGCAGGGCGCGCTGGGTCCGCGATGGCTGCCCAGCGGTCACTGAGACAGCGGAAGTCCCTTCCGCTTCATGGAGCAAGCCAATGGCGGCAATGGCATGGCGAATACTGGGTTCAGTCAGGCTGAGCTGAAAGACGGTGCGGGTCCAGAACGAGGCACCAAAATAGCCAGCCAGATGGGCGGCGGACTTGCGAAAGAAGAATTCCAGGGCTCGGGCCTCTGCCGGGTTGACGAATGCGGTCATCTGTGCGAGCTGCTTGGCGATGCGCAACGAGTAAGGCATGGGCATATAACCATCGCATCTCCGCCCCGTACTCGTACATCTGCGTCGGGTCAGTGAGGAGACCTACGGACGAGAGTCGGATATCCCATAGACTACATACCGTAGACAGACCGGTTTCTGCTCATCACATTTAATGTGTCGGATCCTAGCGTGGGTGAGCGCTGGAAGGTGAGATAATTGACGAGGAAGGGGCCTTGCTCACCGGCAGGTGATACAGCCCCGGCGCGACCGGCTGGACCCCATGCGTAGTCGCTGGTCGGACGAGGGGGTATCGGCCTCCATTCTGATACCAGCGGGGGAGGTAAACGGCAGATGTACTTCATCCCCTGTCGAACTGAATAACACACATCCCTAGTGCTTTTTTGTGGTGAAATCTAGGCCCCTCCTGGCTCGTCACGTGTGTGTGAGCGGGTGACAGGGATTATTCCTCCGTCGTGATTAGTGAGGAGTTAGTGTTCACTGCCACCGTCACAGTACTACTACTAGTAGTGCTGCCCCACTGCTGTTGGGGTCTCACATATCGAGCATCAGATTAAGGAGGACACCTCAGCAATCTGCGTGCATGGAACGAGAGCTGGGAAGAAAGATGCGAGCTCATCCAAGCCTGACCGGTGCAGATAAGCCAGCAGTCGTCATCTGCGAAGGCTAGAGACTCGATCACAGCCTCGTTGAACTAGAGAAGATCATCCGGGGTCACTGTGGGGATGCTAGAGACCGCCAGTGCTCGATGGATTTCCCAATGCTGCTGCCTCCATGACCCATGAATGCTGAAACAATGAAGCGGCTGACAAGCACTGACTACGGACCGACCCATCTGTCTTCCTGCTGAACCGCCAGCAGTGGATCCTCCTCGACTAAGAATAATCCCAGCTCCATTTAACTAACTATGCCAGGCACAGCCATTAGTCAGGTCCGCGAAGCCAATCATCGCCCCGCTTGACTCAGCCGGGGCCGGCTGAACCTGCCCGGCCAGCGTCCGGCTCGGCAGCAATTGCCTCGTCCAAAAATGCGATGCGCGATCCCCGTTTCATGGGTATCAATCCATCGGCCTGGATGGTCACCATCGGTCGCTCATCTTCTTCTCGTCTTTCATCTTTTCATCTCCGGTGGTTATTTCGTGCCAGGATCTAAACTTTTGCACTGCTTCCACTCTGCCCGAGGTGTCTGCCCCCTCTTGCATTGGGTGCCTGACCATTGTTACTATTTCCCCTCAACACTACTATTTACTTCGCTATACTAAACGACTCCCTGACCGGGCTTGCTCAGTTGGGACTAGACAAAACTCGTTCTCGACTACCTACGTCATCTCTCCATTCATTTTTGCAGTCTGAATGCCTTCACGCCGCAGTCACACCAAGTCCCGAAAGGGCTGCCTCCAATGTAAGAAACGGCATGTGAAGGTCTGGCTTGCTCCGTTCGCCTCATTCCCCATTGCTTCCATATATATGGTCCCCTTTGTAATTTGTTTATTTGCATCAACGTGCTACTCATTTCACTTTCCTTCCTTTGGAATAAGTTTGACATCATATGTTCTTCTTTCACTGACTATTACATAGTGCGATGAAGGGACACCCAGATGTAGCTTGTGCAAAAAGCGAAGACTGGACTGCACCTATCCCCCTTCCAGTGAGGTCGATAGCCAGAATGCGTCCACACCCCAGGATCTCCCCGATGTGGTTCCGGGTCCAGACGGGGACGCGCTATCGACAAGGATGCTCGAGATGAGACTCTTCCATCACTATGTAACAGAGACCTACATCACCCTCTGTCAAGGGCGGCTCGACGCCAATCACTTCCAAGTAGTCATTCCACGAATCGCAGTTGCTCACCCCTTTCTGCTGGACAGTCTTCTCGCACTCTCCGCTTTGCATCTCGCCTACCTCGAGACGCATGATAACCATTCGTGGCTAGAGATCGCCCTCAAATATCAAAACCGAGCGTGTTCCGCCTTCAGTCGTGTCTTGGCCGAGATGTCACCCGAGAGCTGCGGTCCAGCCTTCATATGCTCCATCTTCATCATGCTCTGTGCAACAGCCTACCCCTGCGTCACCCAGGACCGACAAACGTTTGAGCCTTTATCCCACGTCTTGGAGATTCGACAGCTCATCGCTGGCTGTGCCTTTCTTTTTGAACAGCTCAACGGCATGGAATATCGGGGTGATTTGCAGGGTTGGCTGAAGTATAAGGATGACGAGGTCGACCAGGACGGCAATCCTTACAGGTAATGTTTCCCCCGGAGTTGTTCCGCTGAATCAGAAGAATAACACCTTCTAGCGTGCAGGAATCTCAGCTTAAGTTACGAAGGTAGACCTTTCAACCATCCCTACCAAAAACTAAACTGATGTCTGGCAGTGCCATAATGGAATCTATGCAACGTGTGCAAGTGAAATACACAAGTCTCGGCGGGCCACACCAAACCACCTACCAAGGGACCTGGGACATTCTCCATGAAGCCATCAAACGATGGCCGTTTGGGGGTCCCAACGGCGGGGTGATTGCATGGCCTATCAATATCAGTGAAGACTATATCGCCCTCTTGCAAAGCGGAGACTGGGTGGCCCGTGTGCTATTTCTCCACTACGGGGTCGGTCTGCACCTTCTCTCCGACAAGTGGTTTGTCCGAGACTGGGGACGACGTCTCATTGAAACCGTCTTGCAGTCGCAAGAAGACGTTCCCTCCATGTGGACCGACACCATCGCCTGGACGCGAGAGGCGGTGGAGCCCTAGGACCTACTTCTAAAGATGTGAAACAGACTTTTACAGGCTTTGCGAGGGCTATGATGCGAGATCGGAGCGCAGACTCTGTAATGAGGCTGAGGCCACTGGCAACGAAAGAGGAAGGACATTAACGAAAGTAATGTCTCGAGGTTGGATTCGATGTGACGATCCGGGGAACCAGGACAGGCTTGGCGGGCTGGCTGCGGTGTGATTGGGTGCGGCGCGGCGGTGCATCCGTCCCAACTCGGCTTGCGGTAGCATCGCGTGACTGGGTCTCGCGGTGGCGGGCGCAGATTCTTGTTGGTGGAACCCGCCCTCGATAAGGATGACCCAAGAATGCGGAGTCCTGGCGATTGCAGCGTGCCATCTGCGCGCGCCTTATCTCGGGTCGGCACTGTCCCCGATACCGCTTGGGCGTCTCCCTACGGGAAGATTTGTCCTCTTCTCATTTCCCCGGTGGTGTCCTCTACTGGATTTCGCCTGAGGTAGGACTTTTTGGTTCTGTTAGCTCCTCTGAATATCGCGTTCTTGTTCGTTTGTTCACCGCGCCTCTAACCCGGCTCATATAGGTTTCGACGGGGTTCCTGGCTGCCGATCTTCTGAGACCGCTAGGCTATCGGATGTCTCTACGCCATCGCTTTGACACAGCCGGATCCGGATTCAATTCCTTGTAACATGCAGAACAACCAGCCAACGCCAATCCCAAGCCACGATGCAGAGAAGCAGGTATTTTAACTCACTCGCTTTCGTCTTTCCTTCGTGCGCTATCACGCCATTCTTCCACCGTGTGCCTAATCTGCTGGGTTTCTGCAGCCAATCCTCGGACCTTTGGAGATCCCGGTCGCGCGATCGCGGTTGGGCTTATCGCACGATAAGCGACTCGCTCGTCCAACCATGTTCCGCCTCGTGAAATTAACTGTCCTGTCGACATTCTTGTTGACAGTCCTGGTGATCCAGCTGCCAAGCGTACTCACCTCGCCACTAGACTTTGCGACTCGCCAACAAGTCGGAGGGGACGGGATAGAGGATGGAAAGCGCGGTGCGGCGGCCAGCGAGAGTGCTATCTGCAGTCGCCATGGAACCGACATAATCACAATGGGTGGAAATGCTGCGGACGCTGTAAGGATCTCCCACTTGGGTCGGTCGCTCATGCGACGCTGTGCTAATGGCAAGTCCTCAGATGGTGGCCACAATGCTTTGCGTTGGAGTTGTCGGTGAGTGGACTGTTTCTTGCTTGCAACGGATGGAACTGACAGAACTGGCTAGGCATGTACCACAGTGGCATTGGAGGCGGTGGTTTCATGCTGGTCAAGGATCCTAACGGCTCATTCGAATTCATCGATTTCCGCGAAACTGCCCCGGCGGCCGCTTTTGAGGATATGTTCAACAACAATACGCAGGCAGCCACCATCGGGGGCCTCGCAAGGTGAGCACCTGGGTTGCATAGGCGCAAGCACTGGCTGACAGGGTTGAAGTGGTGTTCCTGGCGAACTGCGCGGGCTGGAGTATCTCCATAACAAGTATGGCTCTCTCCCCTGGTCGGCCGTTGTGCAGCCAGCGATCCAAACCGCGCGTGACGGATGGCCCGTCGGACAGGACCTGATCCGCTACATGGAAGCTGCCGTTGGGGACGGGGAGGATTTTCTCTCTCGGGACCCTACCTGGGCCCTCGACTTCGCTCCCAATGGCACCCGGCTCGGTCTCGGCGATACCATCACGCGGAAACGGTATGCGGCTACGCTGGAGACAATTGCAAGCCAGGGCGCAGATGCCTTCTACTCTGGATCTATCGCGAAAACCATGGTCAACGCAGTGCAAGCTGCTAACGGTACGATGACGCTTGAGGATCTGGCCAATTACACCGTCGCTATCCGAAATGTCTCTCAAATAGACTACCGCGGTTATCAGATCACCAGTACAACAGCCCCATCTAGTGGCATTGTCGCGATGAATGTGCTGAAGGTTCTGGGCACTTATGATGACTTTTTCGGCTCAGATGCTCTGAATTTGAGTACTCACCGGATGGATGAGGCGATCCGTTTTGGATACGGCTTGGTATGCGCGTCAATCTCAGAGATAATTCTGGCAGCTAGGAGAGCTGTGGGCTAACTTGTGATTCAGAGGACCAATCTAGGGGATCCGTATTTTCTGGAAGACATGGACAAGTACCAGGCCATGATGCTGGCAGATTCCACCATTGAGGGAATCCGACAGAACATATCCGATCTGCAAACCCAGGCCGTGGCCGCATATGATCCGGAGGGACTGGAGAGTCTAGAGACGTGGGTGTTCTTGGTCCTGTGACATTGTGAGATGACTTACATAGCTAGGCCGGGCACCTCGCACATCGCCACGATTGATCATTCGGGGCTTGCTATTTCTGCGATCACCACTATCAACCTTCTGTTTGGATCGCAAGTGATGGTTCCCGAGACTGGCATCATAATGAACAATGAGATGGACGGTAGGTGTCCCCATGTTGCAGCTGGTAGCATTTACTGACATCACATTGAGACTTTTCGATCCCCAATTCGTCCAATTCGTTTGGCTATGTTCCTTCCGAGGCGAATTTCATCCGACCTGGGAAACGCCCGCTGTCATCCAGCACACCGGCCATTGTGACCCATCCGAACGGGACAGTGTTTTTCGTCGCCGGCTCGGCAGGAGGTAGTCGAATCATCACGGCCACGATTCAAAACATCATCCACGCGGTCGATCAAGGCATGTCAGCAGCGGAAGCCCTAGCCCAGCCACGACTTCACGATCAGCTTATTCCGAACCACGTTACATTTGAGTATACATATGACAACGAGACTGTTTCCTTTATGGCGGCACGGGGTCACAATGTGACTTGGGTTGCCCCGGGTCAAAGTACCGCCCATGCCATTCGTGTTTTGCCGAATGGAACGTTTGATGCTGCCGGGGAGCCCCGGCAGGTTGACTCCGGAGGGTTCGCTGTCTGAAGCACCCATGGTGGAAGGTTGGTAGAGGTTTGGGAATATATACACACGGGGTGGGTATTATGATTGCTTTCACGGATTGAATATATGGCAGATAGAAGAACATTCTAGACTGCAAGAGGGATAGAATGCATATAATGATGAACTATGAAGTCAAGGCCTCTCGTACCCGTCTCATGTAAGCTGATTGTAGAACTTACGCAGCTGCACTGCGCTGAGACATCTAGAAGCGGTTTCAGGACAGGGGGTGGTGCAGCAATAGACCCGGGATCATCCCCATGATTAGAACTTGTAGGAGAATCGTCGCCCTTTCCAGCCGTCCAGTCGACGAGTCTGATGCGAGCACGCAAGGAAATCTGACAGAGCAGGGCGGACACACAACAGATGGCGGCGGGCGTGATGTATCTCTTGGTCCGTGCGCCCGGTCGGGTTCCGCGTCGCGCCCGCAGGAGGAATGCGATGCTCTTTCTCTTTTTCTTTGGCGTCGGCAATTGGCCTCGCATTCGACTACTCGAGTATAATTTCTCTTCTTCATTTCTCGAATTCGATATATCAACTGTCATTCTATCATTGTTACCATTCTAAAGATACCCCGGGTTGGAATCACCCCTGTCGCAGTCAATGTGGCAGTAACTCGCACACATGGCTGCCGGAGTTGCAAGCTTCTGGATATGGTGGATTGGTGTTACTGCTGTAAGTGGATCTCCTGCAGACGGAGAAAGCATTCACTAATTGATTCACTCCTTGTGTTAGTCCTTTGATCCTTCCTTCTCTAACTCCTGACCATGCGTATACAACCTTGCTATCTACCCCAACACACAGCTACATACCGATCCGACACACACCCACAGCTGTCATCTACCCAAGCCATCCTCGAAGACAAATAGCTCCAAGCCAAACTGCAGCAATGGTGGGCGGCAAGGAAGTCATGTCTCCCTCGGTCATGATCTCGCCTCCCCACATCGACGTCGATCTCTACAAATCATTCGACGAGCTGCACCAACGCACAGTGGATAAGATCCTTTCCGATGAGGCGAGCTTCGAAACCAGCTTTGACGACTACAGTGGTAGCGATGGGATAAACGCCGATGATGACCAAAAGCAATGTGGTGAAGACCAGGTCTCGAACCTTGCCACTGTTAAAGATTCTGGATATGCGGACTCGCCGTATTTCTCAACCAAAAAGCGTTCTAGGACCCAGAGGACGGCTCAGAGACACATCAGTCGGAATGATTCGAATGACGACGAGGGATATGATGATAGAGATAGCTTGGCTGATGTGGATTTGGGTGGACACAATGCCCACCAGACCGTTGATAACGGCGAACATCTAGATGACGCTTCTGAGGAGGATATTATCTTTGCTTCTGTGGATCTAGATCGACGGATGGAACTACTCACCTTCATCACTTCGCATTCTTTTATGGAAAAGGGCGAGTATCCTGTGCTACGGTCCGCGCGACGGAGATTCGTGCGTGACCTACGTCGGCAGAGCTTATCGGTTGGCATGAAAGAGGCTGATCTGGGGCCACTGATGGCGTATGTCAAGAGGACTTATCTTGAGCTATTTGGGAATGGTCCTGGCAGTTGGGATGGTTCACAGTTCGGTGATGAGATCCAGGATGAGTCCAGTAGCCAAGAGAGTCGATCCAAGTCGTCGAAAAAGGAGAAGAAGAGGAAGCGAAACACTGATGAGGATCAAGGGACAGCATCGAAGGAGAACGTGAAGGCTACCTCGAAGAAGCGGATGTCGCATGGGCTAGTCGCTAATGGGGATGGTATGGAGCACGATGCTGCTGTACCGAATCCGACAGGTTCGATCTCGAAGCCTCTTGCGGATCGCCCCCAAGTCACAGAAAACGAGGCTACGGCAGTTGCTGAAGAGGCGCCTAAGATCACTATTGATCTATGCAAGAGTGATGGAGAAGGTGCAGATACACCGACCGAATCACATAATTTGTTACAGCCTCTCATTGAGCATATCGAAGCTGCGGAAAAGAAGCACTCCCTTCCCTCGTGTTCTGAGTCTAAGGCAAAGTCATGCTCCCCCAAGCAGAAGAAAAATGCAGAACTTCGTTCATCCCAGCAATCGCCGAACAAAAGACCCACGAACGCGCGGCCGTCTTCGAAGTCACCGCCTAAGCATGATGAAAAGGAGAAGGATACCGAGATGAATGCGTCTCAAGTATGTTCACCTAAGGATGAAGATCGCTCGATTGCAAAATCCCGACAGCCTGGACCATCCATGGACGACAAGGCTAAGGAGCAAGATCCTGCGCTGTCCAAGAAGGAAAGGAATAAACGGAAGCGTAACAACCGCAAGCTTCGGAAGAAGAAGTACAACATTTTTCGTGCAAGTCTTTCGGAACCAGAAGAATTCAAACCGTCCACAGGGGAATCCGACCTATCGAAAAATGGCATGCCAAAAACAGCCTCACAGAATGTCGTGACTCTGGAAGATCTTGCCATCTTGGACGAGGAATTTTGGGATCTGGAGGATTTTTAGATACCAATGATTCGCAAAGTTCAATCACCCGCGATGAGGTGAGGTCCAAATATTTCATCGCTCCCAGCGAAACGAAAAATGCATGCTGCAAGAACAGGGATGACTCGTTGAACCAAGTTCCTGATCGGATTCCTTTTAAGACCCAGGTCCTCCTGGCTGAGCTGAACCTGCCATCAGATTTTCTTTCCACCGATTCAGATCTGAGTGATGTACCTAGCGGGTTCGATGATATTCCAATTTATTGTTCTCCTGAAGCCTCGACATCTCAAGCGCGCACCATTGGAGATACTGCCGAACCAATTACACCAACCAAAGGAAAAGACATCAAGGCCATCATGCCCAAAACACCCCGTCCTAAGTTCCAGAAGATATCTCCGTTCTTTCCCAAGCCTCTGGTTGACCCCGAGTCGTGTCTCCCCTTTCCGCCCATCGATGCGCCGTCTTTTGGATTAGTCCAAGAACAACTTGCCCACGACCCATTTCGTCTGCTCATAGCCACCATATTTTTGAACCGCACCCGCGGGGGCGTTGCGCTTCCGGTCCTCTTCAAGGTCTTTGATCAATTTCCCACCGTGGAGGCGATGGCTTCGGCAGAGCTATCAACCTTGGCATCTATGATCCACTGTCTTGGATTTCAGAATCAGCGCGCAAAGAAGTGTATTACTTTGGCTCAGACTTGGTTAACCTGCCCACCCACGAAAGGAAAGCGCTATCGCAAACTTCACTACCCCTCCAAGCAAGATGGACGCGACATCAACCCGCATGAAAGCATCTCTGACGAAGACTCCCGTGTGGCCTGGGAGGTGGCTCATCTTCCTGGCGTTGGTCCCTATTCTTTGGATAGCTGGAGGATATTCTGCCGTGACGAACTTCGAGAATTGGCGTTGGACTGGAGAGGACATGGGGCAGCGACGGACTTTGCCCCCGAATGGAAGTCGGTGGTGCCGCAAGATAAAGAATTGCGAGCGTACCTGACCTGGATGTGGCTGAAGGAGGGTTGGATGTGGGATCGACACACAGGGAAGAGAACCCCGGCGAGCGAAAGGGTAATGCGAGCTGCACGCCGCGGAGGAGTGGCCCATGAAGAGGATGGGAATTGGGTTCTTGAAATGTCACCGGTGAAGAAGGCGTCGAACGGATTGACTACATGGAGCTAGGCTTGGATCTCCGGGAAGGTTATAGGAGTTATTGAACACTTATTTCGGGCTGATATTTAGATACCCTTTGATGGCGGACTACTCTTTTCGGATATTCCAATTACGAGTCCGAATTCCTGGTCATTCTATATAGTACATTGAACGCAGTGCACTGACTGGCAAGACAAGGTTGGGATATTGTAAAACATCTATACTAGTTCTTGCGAGATCGGCGTATGTCAGCCTACTCGATGCTACATCCCAAGGTTGACAGCATACTAGCGATGGTTGGAACGGTGACTCACGGGCAGCCATCGGGTCCAGCCTTAGGCCGATATGATGTCTGCCTGAGGCATGACAATTCACCCCTCTCGCGATGCCAACTGATACGCATTCAATAGTTAAACCACCAGCGTGTTGGTCAGTCCCACGTCCATTATCACTATCATCATCACCATCTGCAGCATCTAGACCGGCCCATACCGGTGGCGTGGCCCTTGCCGCCATTACCTCTCGAGCGAGCGATCATCCCACGACTTGGGTTTCTATGCAGGCGCACCACGTCAGTGGGTGCCTTCGCGGGCCTTCTAGTGCTGCTAAATTCGGGATCCCAAGACCTCCGATCGCTGCGGGGATTCAATCCTCCAGCCGCTCTCTCACCGCAAAATCCTCCCTCCATCCATTCGGCTCGCGATCATTTTCTTATGCACCGTCCCTGAATTACTCTCCCTCTTCTTCTGACTACCGGACTTAGCTAATCCTCTTGACCCCCTTCGCTTTCCTCTTTTCGTCTTTCCCCCGCCCGCCGCCCACGGGATGTTGCATGCCCTTCAGCAGCGCCTTTGGTGGTTCGACACAAGCGCCTAGTCAGGCATTCAACCAGTGAGAATTGCATTCCTCGATATCTCTTAAGCGCCAGGCGAACAGCGACTCGGGTGCTACGACCATCTTCCTTCGTGACACTGTGACACTCTCTTGGGAGCTGACGTCTCCATTTCTTTTTACTTTTTTTGTAAACGAGGTAACTACACGAAACACCAACCGATCCGACAGCGGGGAAGAGAGCAGGAAACAAGGGGGTTGAAAGGACGAAAGACATCGCTTCTTGCCGTCTTCCAACCTTCCATCCACCTCATTTCGAAGCCTTGCACCTAAATCCCACCCACCATGTTTCTACCGCTGAGACTAAATGACCGAGATCGCGATAGGGACCGGGAGAGAAAAGCTGCCTCATCTTCGACCCTTTCATCCAAATCCAAACAACGCAAGAATCGCCTGTCCCACGGACCGTCCACCCGCTCGTCAACCAAGGAACGCGACCCAGACGCTCCCACGGGTCGCTCGTCAACCCCTTCTACAACTACTTCCAATTCCCGCAAGAAGCGTCGGTCCTCCATGCCTGGTGTCGACAGCGCCAGCCGCTCCGGCACCGCCTCGTTCCTCGAGTCGAGGTCCAGTCTGCCGTACCCCACATTCTCCAAAGCCCATAGCAAAGAATTCGTCGGCAAGCCGAGTATTCCTACGCCAGATCCGACCGACTTGACAGAGGGGGGGAAGGAGGGTGCCAATGGAGAGAACGACAACAACCAAGCGCCCCCGAGTCCTCCATTGACGAGCGTGGACCAGCAGTCACATAAAGGAAGCACAGTCGGCGGTAAGGAAGATAAAGCACCGGAGGAGAAATCAGAGAAGCCAGAGAAACCGAAGACCAAGATCCGGATCCGAGCAGAGTCCACGCGGTCGTCGTCCAGTCTGCGGTCGAAGACGGAGGGATCCAAGACAAGCAAACCAACACGATCGGATACCACGAAATCGAAGCGACATGAGACGGACTTGCCATCACGGACAGCCAGCCGGAATTCCACCAAGTCCAAGATTGTAGAGGAAGCGGCGTCGCCTAAGCGGTCATCCAGTCATGCCACTCCGCCTCGCTCCCCAGCAACGGTGCGCGATGGACCCGACTCAGCAAATGGGTCGGAAGCCACCATTGCTCCGCCTCATCAGTCCACATCTTCTCGAAAGCCGAAGAGTCCAGAAAAGCCGCCCTCGCGCACCCAGACGCGATCGTCAATGTCCTTTCGATCATCTGGGACTCGCACCCCGGCTGACGCAGCCTACGACTATGGACGCCCCCCCACGGCAAGCTCTGCCTATGGTGCTCCACCTCCGCCGCCGCCTCCTCCTGAAGTGCCTGTTTCGATTCCAAAGGTGGACTATCTTCTCCAGAATGGTGGATTGAATTATCAAGTTCCGAGATCTCTACTTGGTAACAGCGCTTCGGAAACGCTACCTTATCAGTCTGCTCAGCCTCAGTTCGGCGCCGGCAAGGTTTTTGAGCCGTTTAACCGACTTCTTGAGGATTATCACAAAGTCATGACTAAGAATGGCTCACTCGCGGTTGCCACCGGATATCGGTCGGTCGCACGACGTCTACTTGATCGCTTAGAAGCTGTGTTTGCCCGTGATATCTCATCTGAATGTTGCCAATGCCGAATGTGTGAGCATGAAGCCCTGGAAGAACGTCCCCCTGGGGTCAGCTGGGGCGAGGTTCTGGAACTCGTCTCCGGTCGTCGGGAGCTTCCGAGCTGGCCGGCTTTCATTCTAAACCCGTCTGTGATCGATGCAAACTGGTCTGGCGAGGAACATGTGCCTATGCAAAAGCTGGACATTGACGTGCCGGAGGAGTATCGAGACCACTTTATCCGACAGTCGCGCAAGACGAAGGTTGCTGTCGATAAGTGGCTTAATGAGCAGTCCGGTCAGGCTACGAGCGCGCCCGAGGAGGTCGATGACGAGACCCTCACTTTTGCCATCTTAACACACCTAGGGTCCGAAGAGCGTTCACTGTTTACCTCGCTCCTCGGCATCAGCTCCACATCGCCTACCCCACGGCCAGAGGGACAACCGCGGCCCCGGCCTCCGCCATTGGTGTCGTCGTGTCTAGCCATCCAGCGGCTCTACCGGCTGACGTCCCCTCCGCGCGATCCTGAAGCCGCTATCTACATGCTGAACAACCCGGGCATGCACCATGTTCTCGCGACTCTTGCAGCTATCAGTGACGACGAGTGGGATATCTTGATCTCGGGTCGCTTCGACGGTTTTCTACGGAGTGGTGCGGAAGACGCTTTTCCCTCCGGCACCGGCTCTACACCTTCCCGCTGGAGCCACAGCCGATCCAACACACCATTCACCACTGGTGGGATCTCTCGTGGCCCGACCCCGAATCCGGTTGACGGAGGATTCCGACCGGCCAGTCAGCCGTATGGCGTGTCTCCATCGCCTGCGCCCGCGGCATTCGGCGGTCCGATTGCTCTGGATGAGGAGATGGAGATTGCCGCGCTGGCTGAGATCGAGCGGGACATTTACCTTGGTATGGAGGCACTGGAAGACGCTTTTGAGGCCCTCCACTGTAAGGCCGAGGTGGTGCGCCGCGCGCTTCGCGAACGTGGCGCCGGGCTATCAATTGCGAACCAGAACCGTCGCGGTTCTTACGTCGAGGCTCGTCTGGGGACACCGGCCTCTGGGTTAGGCGTATGGGACGACGGCGACGACGACTTTTTGGATGATAGCGTCTCGCTGGCGCCGGACGACTCGGCCAGCAACATCAGCTCCAACCGACGACGTCGGCCAAAACGTCGCACCGAACGACGGACACCTGCGCCTGTTGAAGAAGAAGATGAGGAAGAATACGACAGTCGACGAGGTTCGCGACGGAGATAATGCCTGCCGCTAGCTTCATAAAAACGAATGAAGACAGAATAACGTATATGCCTTCGTGGTTTATTACTTCCAATCCATTCAGCGTCACGACCGACACGACGAATGCATAATGCGACGAGATGTGATGTATCAACGCGTGCCACGAAACTGATCAAGAGGCTGGTGTATGTACATGCAGACAAGCAGATTGATGACATGCACGACACTAATGTTTATGTATTTTACGATGTTGTTCCGTTCTTCTATTATTTTATTTCCTTGACTGGTCTTTGACAACGACTGTTGTACATTTGCTTGACTTATGATTCTAACGACGTGAATACCATTGCATGTTGCATATAGTGTTGATATCTTGGATCCAATGAGACGGTAGACTATCCATATGCTAGATGACCGATCACGACTAGTTGTAGGGGAATTTAGATGGTTTAGTCTACTCCAGGCGGAGAATATCCGATCTACAGAGTGTAATCCGGAGCCAAACACTAATCTCGTACTTGTATAATAGAATTAACATACTCACGCACCCACCTTCCTATTTTAGCTATCCTGCAGCATCTCCGATACTGTAATGAGAATGTAATATCACTTCTCATCTCTTGGCTCAACTCAAACTCAACCAGAATTCGAACATGAACTAAACTCCTGCTAATCCTACTATGTATTAACAGACGATCATCCCCACCCCGTACTCCCTACTTATCTAACACGAACAAACTACTAGATACCACGAGTCCAGAGAAGTTTTCTCATTCTGTATCCGAAAGACTTATCCTAATTCTCTCCCTCTCATTAAGAAGAACACACTTGCATAATACCGTTATCTTTTCACGTCGGGGGTTTGTGTTTGTTCGCGACTTTCTAGATATTCTACCTAGTAACTTTTTCTTTTGTTTGGGGGGAGAAGGGGGGG